TTTGCTCTCCTCCACCCTGTTTTTGCATGCGCTGCAGCTGACCACGCCCCCCTGCAAAGGAGGGGGCCGAGTTACGAGCGTCATGTTACCATGCTGTTACCATGCCAAGGCAACCTCTCATTTCCCTGATTGGTGTAGAGTTGGCCATATAGGCGGAGCTCCTCGTCACTGACGTCAGACTATTTTCAAATCTGGATCAGTCTGTATCAGATCCGTTCCAGCCCTGTTTTTAGAGATTTTGGGTATGGAGGAAAAGAGAGAGGGTTGTGTTTTCTGACACTTGGTGAGTTCCCTGACACACCGGGGACACATATTCATGTATAAAAGACGTACAAAGGTGCATTTTGCATCATAGGTCCCCTTTAANAAAAAGAAAAAGGAGGTAAGGGGATTTAAAGGGAACATCCGAATGAATTGGAGTAATACATGCAGTGTATTTGTTAACATTTACAAAGGTAAAGTGTCATTTTACCTTTGTAAATGTTAACAAATACACTGCATGTATTACTCCAATTCATTCGGATGTTCCCTTTAAATCCCCTTACCTCCTTTTTCTTTTTAAATCTCAGCCAATGATAAGACAGACTCCGGTACCATGTGAACAGACAACTTCAGTCCGACACGGAAGTGTTCAGACAGCATTGCCCCTAATTCCTTCTGTCCAGCCCACTTCTACTGAAAAACTCCCCTCATTGGTCAACACACATCCCCTAAGCTTCTCATTGGCTGCATGCTTGACTCTGCTGCTCTGCCATTGGCTGCTTGTGTTTGAGAGCCCTCACCCTGCTTTGTGCTGCTGTCTGGGCAGCAGCAGGGGTCTGGGGAGTGGGAGGAGGGAGTTAAGCAAAAGAAAGGACAGAATGAGACTGGAGGGGTTGTGTGGGGGGAAGAGACCCATCTAAAAAAGAGAGGGACAGAGAGGGGAGATAGAGGGAGGAACTCAAGCACACAGAGGGAGAGGGGAGGGAGCAAAGAGGGTTACCTCATAGAGAGCTGCTAGTGTGCACACGGAGCAGGGAGAAGTTGTGGGAAAGTAAACAGCACAGGAGAATCCAATCTGTTTCAGCCCCTTGCAGCCCCCGCAGAACACCAGAGGGATGAGTGTACTGGAGCCGGTAGTGTGGTAAAAACTGAGAGTTTATGGGAGGTAACCAGGATTAAAGGGCCACCAGGGAGACCTGAAGCTTCTCGGAGGACACACTACTGAAGGCAAGGAGGTGAGATATCATGTTATCCTTTAAACACTTTCCTTCCTCCATTCTGTCTCTCTCCCTCCTCTCTCTCAGCATGGTTAGCATGTTGCAGAGACAGCAGCTTTGTCCATTGATGGAGTGGAGTTGGGGGGTGGGTGTTGCTGGTTTGTGCCTCTCTGTCTCAGCCGGTGGAGGAGGAGAGGATGGGAACGACATAGTAGCCGTGTGGCCTTTTTTTGTTGAGTACACACCATCATGGACGATTAAACCCAAGCCGGCAGAGCTACAGAGCGTGAGGCCTTGTTATGATAGCAGCAGTTCCTGAGACAGACACCAGGAAGGATGAGCGGGAGATTGCCGGCTCATCCAAGACCCACACCTCTGGCCGGCTGTTTTTCTGCAGCACTGCACAACTCTCCCACAGCCTCAGGCTATAAAAAGAAATCCTCTGGCCCGTCCTTAACTATTCCAGTTTGACGGTTACTTCCCGGAGTACAATAGCCCCTCCCAGGATGGATTTCATGCTGCCTCTATACTCTGCAACAGAGGGGAGACGGGGGTGAGGGGGACTAGGAGACCTCTGACCAACTCATTTGCATTTTAAGCTAGGGCACTGTTTCTGCCTCACTTGCCGGATGTCCAAGTAGTAACTCCATGGACTCACTGTATCAGATTGTTTTCTTCTTAGTCACAGTCTAGCACTTCCAACACACATTAACAATCCATGCATGCATGGCCTGCTACCACAAAGACTTCACTATCAATGGGAACTCTTCCTCTTTTGGCACACACTCGCCCATGAACTTGTACTAATGCATTGATATGTACACACACGAAGCCTTGGTGCTCAAAACACAATCGGTCATTTGATAGTGGTGTCACGCCTGCCATATGTTTACAGGTGTACTGTGTGACACACTGACTGCATTCCCATGGGAATGTCAGATTACCCAACAGAAGGAAGTCAGGGATGTTTGTAAATTGAGGCCTACCTTCAGTATTTTGTTGTCAACCAAACAGGACTTAATATCCTCTAAGGTCTTCCGATAAACCTTCAGGCCAAAGCAACATAACTACTCTAATTTGAAGAATAATCTGAAGCTCATATCTTTAATATGAATCATGATAGCTTTAATTGTTGGTAGTTAGCCAATATTAAATGCCTTTCATGACACTTCCTGAATTGTGACTGAACACTTTGATTCAGAAGCATATTTTCATAGATGATATCTAATAAGATTGGAGCTCATTTTCTCTCACATTGATGATAGTGAAAGCATGCTTTGCTGCCTAATTCTGTATAATGGCTAAGTTCAGACAAACACAATGCTTGATGCTAAATGCAAAAACCTGACTGGGAAAAAAAGATTTAGGTCACTTCACCAGCCAAAATCGAGAGACTGATTTAATCCGACATTTTAGATCTGCTCAAGGGTAGTTCAAATAACTGCTGTTGTTTCATTTCACGGCATTGCTATACTAGTGGTGATACTGTTGTCCAGGATCAGGCTGAATTTGGTTGAGGACGTAGCTAATATCTCTAAGATTGGAGCTTTGCCGTTGAATCAGAAACAGAACTCAATTTGGACACATTTCTCTTAGTCTGTACTACTTCAAAGGGCTATAGACATGGCAAATCTACCATACAGGATCATCACACAAACTAAGACTAAAAAGTGACTTTCTTTCGGGTCTTTTAATGTGTAAACGTATTGGATATGTGCAAACTCTGGACTTTGGAAGTGAAGCTGTCTATAAAAATGGATGCAAAATGTGAAACGTCAGCTTACCATTTATGAAAAGAACCGATAAGCAAAACAAAGCATGATCTGTGTGCTGTAGTAGAAAGTGGCTCTACATATAAAAGCTAACTTCATGTTTTATGGGGATAATTTAGCGTGTGAATACAAGTTCATAGGAGTTCTTCCATGGCAAGCTGTGGCAGGTCTGAAATTCTCTGGGAAACATCCTCGATGACATGTCATCTTGGGGTTGGAACCTGGTAGGGTGGAGAATGAAAGGCGTGGTGGGCATGTACCAGACAGGGAGTGTTTGAACTGTTTGTTACATCAGAGCAGGGTTTTGAAGTATGACACTGTGCACACAAACAATGCTATCTGCATCATACTGTGGGCTACAACTTATTTCAGACTTTGCAATCTGAATGCACAGACAAATATCACTGGAACACGATGATTCACAGGCCAGGTCATCAATACAGGGTTAAGATTAAAGAGTATTTTTCTGTGTGACTTCTAAATGTTAGTCACACTAGGTCAAAAAACTGTAGGTGTCACTTCTCTCTTTTACTTAGAAATGACTCATCAATTGAGTCACATTATTCAAGCAGCAAGTCTTTTTGAATATAATAATAATAATAATAATAACTTTTATTTATATAGCGCTTTTCAATAACCCAAAGTCGCTTACAAAAACAATTAAAAGTACAGAAAGGGGGTGAACAGGCAGAAGACAACATATTGGACAAGAAAATTGAACATGAACATTACATGAACAGGCAAAGGACAACACAGGGGGGAGCAAGCATAGGACAACGATATACTATAATATACTGCTGAGCATGCTAATAAGAGGGCCAACACAGAGGGCCAATTACAATAACTAACTTCCATTTCTTTTTTGAATAACAGCATATCCATTTCACCTCTCCTGTCACTACCTCTGCACTACCCTCACAATAATACAACAACACCTGAAGGATGGATTGTATTTTTAACTGTACCCACTCTAGGAATCAAAGCCAAGATATCGCGACTTCTTTTGCGTTTAGTTGTTCTATTCCTGATAACAGTTTAACTCTTGTGGGTCCCCAAAATGTATTGAAATGCAATTTAAAGGGGGCCTATTATCCTAATGTTCAGGTTCGTATTTGCATGTGTGGTGCTTCTACTGTGACATGTCTACATGCTTTAATGTTCAAAAAGGTGTTTATTTTTCTCATACTGCCTGTGCTGCAGCACCTCTTTTCACCCTCTGTCTGAAACTAGATTGGTTAGCTGGCCTGCTCTAATGTGATTGGTCAACTGCTTAGATATGTCCCGCCCCTAAGCCTATCACGTAAAATATGTTGGAGACATTGGAGAGTTACTGGAAAAGTAAAAAATTACTTTGATGGCTGTACTTGTTTTACATGGGAATAGGGAGTTGACAAACAACACACCAATCAAGAAACCATAAATGACGACTTCAAAAACGACTCCATGTGCCAGGAGCGGTTGCGGCACGTAATACATTTAGCCTTACATGAGTTTCTGTTCGAGCCTTCAGCTAGTGCTGTATTCCTAAGCTAGCTAGTTAATGACTAACTTTATAAACAATAACATACTGTGGCTGTGAGGTGGAGTGGTCATCTTTTTGAAGGTTGGTGGTTTGATTCCCAGCCCTTGCAGTCAACATGTCCATGTGTATTTGTGTAAGATACATCCCCGAGTTGCTCCCGCTGGCATCGCCACTGATGTGTTAGTGTGTGTGAATGTTAGTCTTTCTGAGCAGGTGGCACCTTGTATGAATGAGTGTGAATGGGTAAATACTGAATTGTTTATATAAAAGTGCTTTGAGGGGTCGTAAAGATTGGAGTAGCTCTATATAAATGCAGTCCATTTACCATTTTCTGTAAAAAGATGATGGTGTCTCACAATGGTTGAAAACAAATTTGGTGGGAGAATGGTAGAGACCGAGTGAGATTGGGTTTTGTTATCCATAAAAACTGAGAGAAATGTATTTGTTACGTTGTTGGCATTGACCAACCACCCAGTCCAGCCTCGGAAGATACAACATGAAAAATGGTGTGCCATAAGTATTTCTCTTGATAAACCAAAGCATTGTCAAGTTAAAACATTCAGGACATTCTTATCTCTGTTCAGTGTTTATTCAATAAAGCACACATGAGTCCAGCATCCTGAGCAAAAATACCATATGGGAGGTGGAGGTTACTCCTCTGTGTCCTTGAGTAATGGCTGCGACACCATCAGCACATCTCTGCTGTTGAGGACTGACACTACTGGAACTGTTGCCCACAGCAGAGGGCATATGAAGGCCGGGCTGTCTCCTGAATGAATAACATGTTCCTGAATGTCTTAACTTTGGCCAAATAACCTAAAACCTGGGGGACGGTATCTTAAATATGCATGGTTAACCTTCTAACCTGTTGTGTTTACTGTGGAACATCATATTCCACATTGCCTTCGGCACGCAGTGTTCAGAAATGTAAAATATTGAAAACATGATGAATAATTCAATAGACTGTGTTCTTCTGTATTTCATGAAACCTTTTTTGGAAGGGCAATGTTAAGGCGAATCCATGAAATGAACAACCTCCCACCCGTTGGGATGCCTTTTGACAGCCTGAGAAATATACTGTTCTCCAGGAGCTGTTTGCAGTTCCAAAATTGGCCACGTCACACATTGGTATCTCTTGATAGGAAGTCCTCAGGGAAAGCTGAAGAAGGAAGCAGCGCAGGAGGCAGAAACGTCTCTGCCTGGCACTGTTTGTTGTTGTCAACGGTCCGCTGCTCTCTCATTGTCTGCTGAGTGTTTGTGTGCCGTTTGCTGTTAAGGCAAAAGCTTTAAGTAGCAGTGGGCTCAGTGACTTTCTGTTAGATTTTCCAATGCTGTTTATTCAGTCGTCACCAGCTGCTGCTCTCTGCCATTGTGTATTGATATACCCGACTGACACTGACCAATGGATGTGAGGTTTGTCTGCACTTGGTCAAACATAGCATTCTCTAAATCAGTGGCTGGAACTAAATATGCGGCCCAGCAGATCAGCAAAGTCCTTACTGAATGCTTAGAAAGCAGAAACAGTTTTTTGTCCTTAAATTTAACTTTTTAAAGCAGATTACATATCCGTTCTGCTTTGTAAAGTGAAGTACAGTACAAAAGGGAGCTCAGAAGAAATGAGGCAACCTAAATAATGTGCCAAGTACACACAAGATCCAACTCAGTAATCAAGGATTGCGCAATTTAAATGTAAAAATCGTTGACTAAATTACAATAAAAAACAACACTGAATATGAAAATCTCAAAACTGCTACATTTCAACAAGACGTTACATAATTTTTGAAGTTTTAATCAGGATTTTCTAAGCCTATGTACCGCAGATCACAAATGAAAGTGTACACACACCTCACTTTCCTTTAGTCGTAGACAACATCCCTTTACTCATTAGCACATTTGGTGAACAGCGGGAGAGTTTCCGAGCTCTAAGTAGGTCAGGGACAGGGTGTGTAGGAGTCAGTTTCATCTCTATTCTGTGATGTATGATGTAAGAATAGCTTTCACAAAGCTCCACTCCCGGGGCTCTTTATTTTTCTAAGCTGGAGAGTGTTTGATGGCTTGTCCAATTGCCTCCCTTCAAAGAAAGTTTCTCAGAATACCTGTCATCTTGATTCTGCGGAGCGTTATTTTTTGAAGTGAAAAACTTTTAGGCTTCCAGTTTTGTGTGTGTGTGTGTTATCAAGCTAAACTTTTATTCAAGGGACCAGCTGTCTTGTTGATTGTCATAATGTGGAAATATGAATTATAGTTCCGAGATATCACGGCGGTTCGTGTTCACTTAATCCTTTCACTCCAGTGAACAATGAAGAATGATATCTTAGTTAGCATGGCTTTCATCTGTAGAAGAGCAGTGGCAAGACATTCTGGTGGTTTGGTTTCTATAACGTTGATTCAAAAGGGACACCATTTTTTATGTTCAAGTTCTAGTAATCAAATTAATGTGTAAAAAAACTTTTTGATAGTAGAAGTCCTGCATTTAAAATGTTTCTTTAATATATGCATAAACGTAAAGCACCAAGACATACTTAAAGAATAAAAAGTACTCCAAATGAAAAATGGCAGATTTCAGAAAAATATCCAGAGAAACCCCTCTTTAGGGTACTTTGGGATTTTAGTTTTACTATTTACAGACCATTTGTGGACCAAAACCTATAATACACAGGAAAAGATACCCCACCAAAAGCCAAATAGGTCCTCTTTAAGATGGAGCTTATGACTCATTCAAGGAATTAATAGTTCGTCTAAGTTATCTTAACCTATAATAATACATGATAAATGATATAAATATTTTGTATGATGAATCAGAATCTTCAAAGTAACTTAAGCAAACATGTAAAAAGTGAAAAGCACATGATTTCTCTTGCACTTGTGTGAGAGTGGAAGTATAAAAGGAAATGGGAATACTCCAGTAAAATACCTGAAACTTGCACTAAAGTAGAGTGATTATACTTAGTTACTGTTCACAACAAGTACAGTGAGCCATACTATAGCCTACACAGCAATGACCTGTGAGCTAATCAGTGCTGCAGTGACGAACGTAGAAACAATTCTTTCTAAGGCTGAGCATAAGTTTTTCCCTCCACAAAAGAGTCATTGTTTATTTGACCGATGTGTAGGCCGACTGGAAAAACTGTGTGTGTGTGTTACAAGAGGAGGAGGCTTGGTCCAAAGGCTGCTGGGCATATCGTAAACACGCAGAGAACAGATTCCTAAAGAATGCAACAACCCTTGCTTTTATTTTTCTAGGTAATTTAAAGCCTTCTTCAACACATATGGTAATTAAGATTTCAAAGGCATCACTGCTACTGAACCACAGTGCTAACAAACATCATGCCCTCATTCAGCTGTCAAAAAGCAGTAGTAAAAGATAATGAGAGCTGTAACTGACAGCATAACAGCCCATGTGTCCAGGTTAAACACCATGCTGCTCACAATGAATTGTCTAGCCCGGCCCAGTTTCAGCCGCCTCCGCTCCATGCTGTCATTCCCCCAAAGGAGTCCGACAAACTGCCCCATCAGGCCCAAGAATGTTCCAGCATTGGAAGCAGTTTAATGCTAATCAAAATGTAAAGCAGATGCTGGGTTCATTGAGCGGTACACCAACATGCACAGAGCGGGTACGTCAGAGAAAATCCCCACTTTGTGTAATAAAAAAACAATTTCTGTTTGCAGCAATTTCATTCCTTGAGAGCTGGTGCGTCAGGGAAGATGTCCATTTTATTTTGAAAATATGCTAAAAACAATTCTCATTCATTTACATGACTGCAGCTGACAATTTACATGGCCGGCTTTTTGTTGAGGAAGTACCATGGGTTTCAAATCACAAAACATGATGTGTTTGCAAATACAGTATGACTGCTTGTGTATTTCGTATTTGTTGAATTTTTTCCTAAAGTTTTGTTTGCTGTCAGACCTGTTTCGATTGATAGGACTAGGTGTAATTAGCCTCTTAGATAAAGAAGGTCTGTATTGTTGGGGCACTTTACATCAGTGTGTGTGTGTATCTTAATTAATCTGCCACTAAGCCTCGTCAGACTTTTATGTTTGGCAGTTTAACAGTTTTCTAATGGCCATATGTCATTTTTATAGAGCTAAGATTGAACTCTCTCTGTGCATGTTGTCTAGATCTAAGTGCCGATCACTCAGTTTTATGGATTTATATAGTCAAACAGTTTATAAAGAAAGCAACATTTATGTTTTTTTATGCATTGCAGGTAAACACTACGGCTGAACACAAGTCTGACAATTACAATTACAATCTTTCCCTGCTTACGTTTATTTTTGTGTGCCATTATTCAAATAATTCCAAACACGGTGGAAGTTAAAACAACATTTTGAGTGTCGGTACTCTGGAAACAGCAGATTAAGGCTCAAGCAATAAGTCCTGAGTTCATATTAAGTGCAGCGTGTTATCACTTGCAAAGAAAAGACTGCTTATGATAATATGAATGGAATCTTTTTTCTGTGCTTCTGATTTTTAGAATAGACATATTTAAAAGCTTGCAAATCCCGGAAGAAAGAATAAATCCTATCCTAAATTATTATTATAGAGATGAAGTGCTATCATTGTGTCATTAAAAAACCTTAAGTAACCCTGACTTCTTTTATACTAAAACTTGTTGTGATTATTTGGTATCAATCATTTAATCACAAGTGTCATTTCAACTCATTTTGGAACAAACTTATAACTTGAATTTTGTTTCTTTTTTTAGGGAGCATGTCGGCAGTGATGCCTCAACAGCAACCGCCAAAGGAGGAGGAAGAGGACGAAGATGAAGAGCAAGGGGAAGGGTTTTCATTTGAGGATAGTGGGGATGAGGAGAAACCTCAGGGGGACAGTAAGGGCATCCCCTCTGACTCTGTTGGATCAGTCCAGTCATCAAAAAAGGAGGACAGTGAAACATCAGGAAGTTCATCACTAACAGGCACAGACTGCACACAACTTCCTATAACATCGCCTCCTGCTGGACAGGAGGAGATCCTCACCAAGGATGTAGATTCAAATTCTACTGCAGGTAACACATTTGCACGATTAATGTAGCCTACAGATGATACGACTGGAATCGTTTTTTAGAACAATCTAAACATGATAAATGTGCACTAATAGGCAGTACTTGATGCAACCAATTTAGATTCTTTATCTGATACCAATAACAATGCATATCAATCAGGGGCGGACTGGCCATTGGGAATACCGGGAGTTTTCCCGGTGGGCTGGTGCTGTGTGTGGGCCGGAGGGCAAAAAAAAAAAAAAAAAAAAGTGCCTAAATCCTACCGGCCAACATTTGTAAGTGTTCCGGCCACTCCCTTTTTATTTTTTTGCTTACCTAAATCCTNGTACAGCCACTCCCCCTGAACCCCGTTTCCCTGCCAACCCCCCCTCCCCTATGCAAGCCCCTCCCTCTGAACCCAGGGCTCGCTACAATACTGTATACACAAACTATACAAAAACGCCTTTACGCTTTGGAGCTTGTTTATCCATCTGTAAGCAACTGCCAGCTAGGTCTCTCAGTCACTCACTCCTGGTCGTTCACTGCGCAGTGACAGCTGCTACGGGCCTGATGTGTGAAATTGAAACAGATAGATAGAACAAAGGTAGCCTATCAAAACGGCCCAGCCCAGCGGGCAACACCCCACTGGGCTGGGCTGGGCTGGGCCGGGCCGGAACACTTTCAAATGTGGGCCGGTAGGATTTAGGTAAGCAAAAAAATAAAAAGGGAGTGGCCGGAACACTTACAAATGTTGGCCGGTAGGATTTAGGCACTTTTTTTTNATTGCTCCCCGGGCACTGTACAATAGCTGCCCACTGCTCCTAGTACTAGAAGACACAGTGAAATGTGTTCTCTGCTTTTAACCCATCCTAGTACCAGGAGTCTAGTACTAGGAGCAGTGGGCAGCTATTGTACAGTGCCCGGGGAGCAATGGGAGTGAGGGGGGAAGGGGGGTGTCTGGTGCCTTGCTCAAGGGCACCACGGCAGGGCAGGAGGTGAACTGGGACCTCTCCAAGTAGAAGTCCACACTCCAAATGTAGGTCTGGTCGGGAACTTGAACCGGCGACCCTACGGCTCACAGTCCAAGCCCCTACTGACTGCCATAGATGTAGTCTCTAATTTTGCTCTCAAAGTGCACCAGACATTGATGCATTTAACTTCAACATTTAAAAAAAAATCTTTCCACCACTGCTGATGGGTGTAGACTTTGACAGTTTGACAGCATCAAATTCACATAACCTCTACCATTTTATTACTGGAGAGACATGGATAGTAGTTAAACTGCTGTACTGTAACCAAAATCCCCATGCTGGGTTCTATCCTCTCAACATGTTCACTGTCATCAAACTGCTGCGGGGCATACCACTGAACCACTTCTCACTTAGTCACTGTGCAATAATCTGCCTTTGATAAGCTGGCTCTGAGATTTTATGTTTCTTATTTAGTTGACGATCAGTTCTCCAAAGCCACACACTGTGTGAGTGACTTCAGCTTGTTAATCTCTTTTTAACAGCATTTAATTAATGCCTCAGGCAGACGCAGCTGAGTTAACTTTCCTTTAATTGGCTGGAGATATGTATATAAGTATGATATATTTACTACCTGGCTAACGTTGCCAAACAGACCCTTGTAATTACAGGGAAAAAGAGAATAAAGAGATTTCGGTCTTGGGGAAGTTCTGTTGGACAAAGTGGAGCGATTAATGCTTAATTAAAAAGCTTTTTAACTAAGTATATGTGCAGTAATCTGTTAAGTGGACTGTGGTGATGCAAAGGGGAATTCCGGGAGATTATAATGGTGTGTAGTGGAGGTCTAATAATGAGAGCTGTTATAAATTCAGATCCCCCTCCAACACATCATATGGTGGGAAGGAAATTGATCATGACATTTATTTTCCTTTAATGCACTTCTCCTGTTACAAAACAACCATGCAAACTCATTGTTGTGACAACCCCACACAATCTACTAAATTATCTCTTAGGTGTTCTCCATGTGAGCAAGCGTGATTTTGTTTTTGACAGTATCTTTTTAAGGTTTTGAGAAGCTCTACTGTGTACAAGAAGTAACAGACTAAGTGATAATATTTCAAAGTCAAAGTCGTTCACGCTGTCTTTTTAAATGCTGACAAATTTGTGTTTTCCACTATCTTCTTCCTTTGATTTGGAATAGTTTGTCTCATGGTTGCTATTTTCTTCATTTTGACAGATGTTCCAGTCAAAGAGTCACCCAGCGGGTAAGTTGCCTTTGATTCTCATTACAGTGTGGGGAAAATTACTTCAAGGCGTTGTAGAAAGTAAACTCAAAATCAAACTACATCAGCGTTTTTTCATTATGTCTGAGACAATGTCACGCTTACACTCAATCAGAACACGCAACAGTGGGTATGAGATACTGTGATGTTACGCTGTATCCATTTGAACAACATTTAGATGCCAGATGGCGTGTCACACCCGAAGTGACAAGTGCTAATGTCAGGAATGGAGTGATGATACTGATACAATCCTAGAGGGAAATCACATGATTGCCTTATTCATAATGATGCATGTGGTATAATATGATGAGCATGGCTTATACCATATAATGCAATGTCAGATGGATTTAATTTAAAAAGTCAGTCACGCATTGACAAAAAAGAAAATGTCTCAATATTTCTATATCGGTATGTGGAGCGGTCTCGTGTGAACGGACACGTTTCTGGTGCCTGTTGCGTGTGGACGGAAGACTTTTTTAATAATGATTGCGGTCCGTTTGCAGGTGGAGCGTTGCCCATGTAGGCGGAGCGTCACCGCCCACTATTCTGGGCTGACGTCAGCTCGGATGGAATCTGTATCCGCTCGTTGTAGCCCCGTTTTTAAAAGATTTGGGTACGGAGGAAAAGAGAGGGTTTTATTTTCTGACGCTGCGTGAGTTCCCCGACTCACCGGGGACACATCTTTATGTATAAAATACATCACAAAGTGCATTTTGCATGATAGGTCCCCTTTTTAAGTTTAATATAGTCCTCTCTACAATTTCTGCTGCTGTCCGAATGGCAAATGGAACATAATTTGTGATGCTCAAAGCAATTAATAATGACATTTTCCTTCAGCAGTAATAGATCTTCTTCATGGTAGTATTTTGAATTTTCATGCAGGAAAAAGACAGGGTTAATTAATAAACACTAGCTGGCTTAATTAACGTAAATGTCCCTTTAGGCCTTTCCTGTTAGCTAGTGTTTTCAATATATAAACTGGGACACCCATGTTATATGCAGCCTTAATTAATGTTATGAATTGCACCTGTGCGTTACCTGCTGTGAAAAATAAATATCTGCCTTGAAAAAAAGTAAATGGAATTTATGCTTTACAGTGCGTGAATATCAATTGGGGGAAAGACGTGTTTAAGCTTTTTTTTATTCTTTGAAATGCATTCTACTTCGTGCATCTACTGTGACATGTTTACACAATTTCATGTTTAAAATGTATTTTATTTTTTTCATACTGCCTGTGCTGCAGCACCTCTTGCTACCCTCTGTCTGAAACCAGAGCCAATGTCTACTCTGATCGGTTAGCTGGCACGCTCTGTAATGATTGATCAACTGCTTAGAGATGTCAGGCCCCTTAGCCTATCACGTACAATGTGTTTGAGCGCAAGCCAATAGAAGCGCGAACGTTGAGTAGTGATGCCATTGTGTTGCGGAAGTAAACAAAGGACTACAATAGATGCGTTTCAGGCAGGGGGGAGTGTGTTATTAGAGAGAAAATCCCGTTGGAAGGAGCACTGGGATTTTAGCCATACAGACCATTTACATGCACAACAACCTATATAACACACTACAGGAAAGAGAAACCCCCAAAAGTATGACAGGGCCTCTTTAAATTCCATTCATCTTCCTTCTTATAAGGTTGTGGCTTTAATTAAAAAGCCCTGCACACGTGCGGAACACCCACACAGGTGATTTCAATTAGGTTGGCTGATTACAGCTCTTCTAATGACAAAGTGGGCGTGTATCACTAACCCTAACCCTACTTGGCTTTAGTGTAGCTGCACGAGTTAATGTGGGACTAATTGCACTTTTTCTGTGTCTTATAGTTAAAATACATACTTCCCAGCACAGGTACGCCTACCTTAAACTTGAGCAGAGGACAGACAGACATATTCACACACATATGTGGGTGTGCAGAGCCGTTAAAAGGAGAACAATCGAAGAATTTTAGCATATAAAACTTTAACAAACAGCATAGGCACATTTCTGTTGTTTTGTGTTGTATACTTCACCCATTCTTACTACTTTTGATTTGGTGGAAATACATCCTAAACTGGTGGGATTTAAGAATCAAATTTGGAAACATCAACCTCCAAAAGACAATAACGGCTTTATTATTTGTAATGTGTATTGAAATCATCAATATAAAGTTCTGCTGGAAAAGATTTATGAATGAAATGAACCTTACCCTGGTGCACTCGGACAGCACCTTTCATACAATCAAGAAGAGATTTTGCTTCAAGGCCTGGGCACAGTAAATGATAATGTGATAGTTTATTGATTCCTCTAAAGCAACTGTCTTTTGCCTGCATGCCTGCCTCCAGTTGGAGGGTGGCAGTCAAAGTCACCTACAGATCAGCAGCCCTGGAGCTGATGGACAGAATCAGTTTTCCATTGGATACCTTACCTTTCTTGACCCGAGGCTTTCTATCGGAAAGACAGGCGTTTAATGCCTTAAGAAATTGCAATTTTTATAATCAATATAAAACAGGATTTAATAAAAACTGAAATACAGTTTCTCACTGTAAATCTTATACCACCTTCACACCGGGAGCAAATGCTAGAACCACCAGATAGTGTTAACTAGGGCTGCACTATTTGGAAAAAAGAACTGATTAATTTTCTACTCTTGCAATTGTGATTTGCGAATCCAAGCAAATTAAGATTTATATATCATTACTCACGTTATTATTACAAATATATTAAAGCGAGGATTTGAAAAAAACACATTTTAAATAAAGAGGACCTATTCTTTGTTTTTCCTTTCCTGTAAATTGTTTTATACTGTAAGTTGATATGTATGTAAATGGTCTGCAAAGGCAGTGGAGTGCCTGAAATGCCTCCATTGGAGTCATTTGTTTACTTCCCTAACATAATGACGTCACTACGTAACACCACCGTATCACATTGTCCGTGATAGGCTAAGGGTCGGGACATCTCTGAGCAGTTTATCAATCACAACAGAGCTAACCAATCAGAGCAGACTGGGCTCTGGTTTCAGACAGAGGCCGTTTCTCAATCTCGAGGAAACTGGCTTCCAAGCCAATATTTCAAGGATGCTACGTCATCGAGTGCCGCCGAAGGACTGTTCCAATCTCCAGCATACTTGGAATTCCACGAGGCCGCGTCCTTGGTTTGGGGGTAATTTCGAGGCTGCACACGGGTAGACTTCACGTCCTTAAAATCCCCACAATGCTTTGCGCACGGACCAATTTCCCCAAATATGTGACGGAAAATGTAAGGCGGGGCCTCTCATATGACGCACACCTGCACACTTGCTAGCCTGTTTGACTCTTCGTTTTCCGAATGCCAGGAAGGATTCTTGCCTAGCTTCTGAAGCAAGTGACTCGGAAGACATGTGCTACCAAGCAAGCATCCTCGCGATTGAGAAACGGCCAGAGGGTGAGAAGAGGTGCTGCAGCACAGGCAGTGTGAGACAAATAAAGAGCTTTTTGAACATTAAAGCAAAATGTCACAGTAGACAAAAAATCTAAATATGAACCTGAAAAGGAGCTGAATATGTCCTCTTTGAATCTGTGGAATACGATTTTAGGCATGTCTTTTCTGCAGCACCAAATTACTCAATTCAGAATTATATTTTCACAGCCTTTTCCAAATATTGCAATCACTGCAATTTGGATATTGCACTGGTCCATATTTTAAGATTTCAATGAATTGTGCCGTTCTAGTGTTAACCATTCAAAAGTACATTACACACTATATACATTTACCCATACTTTCCTTGCTTCTTTTATAGGATATTCTATAAAGCGTTAACTTAAAAAAACATGATGATGGTCTGCATGGTGAAGCCATGTAGGGGCTTTACATTTTTAGTGAGGCCTCCCACCTGTGCTCCAGCTGTAGGAAGTGTTTTTCAGAAAAACCTCTACTCATTATGGACTCCAAGGAGTTTGGATTCCTGTGGGCTTTCCTGTGCTGAAAGGGAGGCCTTTTATTTATGAACAGGTGTGAGGGTGTTAATGTGTGTCTACACCGTGCATATGTGTGTGTATGCGCTAGAGTCACAGCGAGGTCTTGGCAATTTCTCCTGCCTGGGTATTTGTGCTGAGTGCACATTTCCACTTTGGTTTAGTCAATAGTGTGCCTTTTTAAAGAAGAGCTATCAATAGCACTTTCCACCATCAAGGTGTTAAGACTGTCAGCACATCCACCATATCTGTCAGCAGTTTTAGAATAATATTGCGTAAAATTACTTTGGGATTGTTATTGCAGAAATATGTATTTTTTTCTTAACATTGCATTGACAGCACATCAGCTCGTTACAGCTATTAAGCTCAAGGCAGCATTTTCTCCTGTGAGTTTTATGTTCGTTTGATGCTAGCATTTACTTTCTGGCTTCCCTTTTTACTCCTTGACAAATAGCTTTCATTAAACACATGGCATGGGACCTCAGCAAATGAGAACATTTACACAAAAGGAACCATGACAACCTGACATGCTCCTGGTATATGTGTAGAGCTCGAACCTAAGAAAGTACAACTTTACTTTTCCCATCAAAGTTACCCTTGTTTTACCGAGTTCACCTTTTCGCCCTTTTGCTGCCTTGCATACTTTTAGACTTTTGTCTGGAAAATGTAATGCAGCTTGCGGATCACATTTATTTTTCACAGCCCTCCTCACCTTGTTGTACTCGGTTGGATGTGCTGTGGGAGCAAAAAAGAAAACTATAAAAGCTGAAACACACGTGTATACAAATATAAAATGAAGCCATAAACCAAATACTTTTGAAGGCTTTTTAATTAGAATATGTCATGTACTCTGCCCGGTAACATAGGGTGCATTGTGGGGTTGCTGCAATGGGAGAACTGGGCAGTTGTTTTTGAAGGAGAAGTATGACCTGAGGACAAATAGAGCTCCATCATTATGGTCAGCACAATGCGTGTGCAGTTACAAAGAACAGCTACGCTCAAGAGGGACCAGGGGGCAAAGCAGGTGAAGCTAATGGCTGCTGGTACGGCCCCGGCACAGTAGCTGAAGGGAATGGAAACAGATGGAAGTTTGTGATTTGCATTCAGGCTGCTCGTGCTGTAGGCTGCGCTCTGCCCCAGGCTATGTCATTTGCATTGAAAAATGATTCCTGCTTCTCTCCTTGAGCTATATGACTCACTGTGTCTTATAGGCACAGATAAGTTGTGAAGGAGTGCGCAACAATATCGATAGCTTCACAGCTCACATCCCTCACACCTGACATACAGTCGGGCTGTGTATCGCTATTGTTCTGGCTTTTTCCTCACAACAGTTTTAATGATCAGTTTATGGCAAGGTGCGTGTTGACAAATAGGTCTTTATGCCGCCTTCATGTGGGCTGAGATCAGTTTTGTCCTTTTTAGATTGAGATGAATGATGCAGACTCATAAAGAATGCAGCAGAGTAATATTCTAAACTCTTTTGCTTAACACCACCGCAAAACCAAATGTCTGCTATCAGGAGCTCTCATATGATATTTTGACAGGTCACAACATCTGCCTCCAGGCATGTGGTGGGCATTTATAGAAAAACAGGCAGAGCACAGCAAAAACAATCAGAGCTTGCACTATATCTTGTATCAAGTTTAACAATGCTAAACTTGTTTTGTGAGCAATAATCTGTTTTTTAATACACTATATATTGTAATAAACACATTTTGAAGATTTTAATATGTTATATATTGAAGTTCAAAGTGCACATTTTTAGTTTTTTTAATTTAAATATCATTATTTTATGTGTCTTTAATAATAACAATAAGCTTCATTTGTATAGCACCTTTCATACAACAATTGAAGTTCAAAGTGCTTCACGGTAGACTCTCTTAAAATACTCACAGAAAATGTATCTCACATAGAATACAGTTACCAGTAAAATACATAAAGAGAACATTTAAGATAGCATAGAGTAGACATATAAACAAATAATTTAGATTAAAGGTATGATGATGAATATATGCAACAGAGAGCAGGAGTTAGCTTCCTAAAAGGATATGTTTTGAGCTTTTCTTTAAATGAAGAAACCGTCACAAAAATACAATATATTTGTATTTATTCTGATCATTTTATGGTCATATATACATCATTTTATTGACATTATATTTTGAATAATATTTGTTTTTACAGGATTAGAGAACTGTACGGTTTACCGAAATAGCTTTTTATTTTCCCGGCATGTCTTGTTTGTCTGCAAGTTGCCCATCACTGTGAGAAGCTGCTGCTGCTGCTGCTGAGGTGTTTAGAGGGACAGATTTAATTAGTGTAGATGGGACGCTCCTACACGCTGCTTCCTGTCATATTATCAGTCATGTGGGGGAGGACTCTCCCTCTCCGGCAGCATCAACACAAGCCGTGTGATAGCTGTGTCAACAAGATTTCCCCCAGTGATGTCAGAGTGTGTTTTTAAATAGCTGGTTCAGGGATATGTTCTCGTTCAAAAAGACAGCAGTGATTATGGTAAGCCGCAGGCATGAGAGGTAATGATTTGACAGTGCTCAGGGGCAAAAGAAGTAACTTAAGGTGTGATTTATATTTGTTCTCCTTATATGTGGCCTCGCAAAAGTTCTTTATAATTAGTAACCAACTGTTCCCACATTCAGTTTAAAGAGGCCCTACTATGCTTTTTGGTCTTCTCCCTTTCCTGTTGTGTTTTAGGTTTTGGTGAAGGTAAATGGTCTGCAAAGGCTAACATCCCAAAGTTCCCTCCAGAGGGAATTTCTCCCCCCCACACTTTTGTTCTTGCCTTCCTCCAAATTTGAGGTTTTTTTTTGTCATATTTCTCCTAACTTTCAAAAATAACAGAATGCTCAGCTGCATATGGAAAATGTGACCACTTCTGAAAAAGTCTCCCCACAATTATCACAACAGATCGACAGCAGCCATATGTGCTCTGTCAGACTTCAGGGAGTGTGTGTTTGCATGCTTGGATAGCAACAAACTATTTTGACCCCCACCTCCAGCCTCTCAGCCTCCCCTTCCTCTCACTGATATTAAACCTGTAATGAGGCACACAGTGTTAGTTTAACTGTGCTAATATTTGGGTGCCTTCCAGGGTCTCAGCAGCAGAGCCCTGTTCCTCGGCTCCTCTGGTGGGAGAGGAGCTCCCTGGGCTTCCTGCGGCGCCGCCAGCTGTGGAGACGACGACTGATTCAGGAGACCAAGGCGAAGAAATCCAGAAAAGCTCCAGTGAAGGTAAAGAACTAAATAATATTGACAGGGAAGTGATGCAACTCTAGATCAGATGTTACATTTCAAGATTGCTCTCAAGCTAACCTCGGGACTCAGGCTCCTTCCACCTAGGAATTACAGTGTTCAGATCTGTAAGGAAACCAATTGGACCTCCAGAATTTTGTAAACAGTATAGTGGACGCCTCCATAATGGCACTGGCAGTATCAATGTTTTTAGCAGTATTTTGTGAGTACCGCACAGTGCATCTCTTGACCTTGATCTAAGGTGGCAAGAACACCATATTACATGCTTGCGGTCGTCTTATGGATCATTGATCTGTACGGTGAGAGTGGTCAGACGCACATTATGTATAGACACATCTGTGCGCGCTCCATTCAAACACATAACGACACAAGAGGCGCACACGTATTCTGCCATGATTTGATTTCTACACGGACAAGACATGAATCCAATTAATTCAGGATGGGGATCAATAGAGAACCATTTCCATGAGGGAAAATTGCTTTTGGATTCCGACTCAGTCAGCAGTGCCGCCGTTATTTGAAGGTGGCTCAGAAATGAGAGATGTAAAAGAGCCCCGCAATGCTGCCCGACATTTTTTATGTCCCGCTCCTCTGATGTATTTTCACACAGGCCTCTGCTGTCATTTTCAACGCGCACAGTATATTTAAACTGACTAAATAATGCAATTCTATTAAACCTCTCTCCTAGCCATCTAAAATCATTACTACAGAAATGGGAATACTCTAGTGCTGACGCTAATGAGAAATCTACTGCAATGCTCAATTTGTTTTACTTTTGATACTTTCTCTTGTAGTTTTCTAACCCCAAACTCCAAGACATATTTTGGAAATTCTTTGGAGGTCAAAACTGTTTATTGTGTAGAAGATCCGTGTTCTGAATCTTCTTTATATGGATCATTATGAGTAATGAAGTACTTCCTGTTTGTTGAAGCTAAAAGGTCCCTTCACTCCTTGATTGTGCTCACTGTTAATATAAACTATTTTGACCTGTTTATTGTTTTTACATTATTGTTCACATTTTTACATTAACTTCACCTATTTTATATAAATTATTTTGTATTTATCTTTTACTTATCTTTACAGTCACAAAATCCAACTTCAACCCTAGAATAAATAACATTCTAATTCAGCTTGATTCTGAATGATAAGATTATACATGCATCATATTTTGAACACATTCATTTTTTCATTTGTTTAACTTACTTTTTTTCTTTTACTTTTCTAACACTAAAACTCCATGAATTATTTTGAAGATTATTCAATGGAGGTTAAAACTGTCTGTGTAGAAAAACTGTTTTAGTTCGACTGAATCTACTTTATATGCATCATTATAAATAATGAAGCATTTCCTGTTTGTCAAAGCAAAAATGTCCCTTCACTCCTTGATTGTGGTCACGGCACATTTTGAAGTGATTATCTGACATTGATTGCTTTGCCTTGATCTTTTCTTTCACATTTGCCAATTAATGGCAGTGTATTTTTAAATTAGTGTCATGGTGACCTGTTCATGACTTTATTGGAGTGTCATTGTGTTCTGGAAAGTTGAGTAAAAGTAGGAAACTTGGTTTAAAACATTTGGAATAATGTTCCCGTGAGACCCGCTGAGCAGATCTGCTGATAGCCAAAATCCAGTTGTTCTCTCCTCCATTCTGAATCCTTTCTGAATGCACAAGCGTAGGAAAGTGTGCGATATATATATAAAGAACATTTGTATAGCTAATCCTCTTTTGTAGAGACACACTTGTTCATCTCCTAGATTGTATCCAAGGTTATTTCCAGTTTTAAGACTGATCTCTGCTGAATAATCCACAACAGAATACACATCTCCAATCTGATTAATTGAAAACAGTGATTGTTGCTGTTCAGGGCTTAGGAGAAAGTGTAAAAGACAAATCACAGTTTAAAACCAAATCAATAAAGCTCACTGAGCTAAATTAGGATGAAGCAGTCTCAAAGCAGTTAACGACCAATCCTGCCTCGCGGGGAGATAGAAGGGGTCAATAGCTCAAACAAGCTGGATACAATCATGTTGCGTCACATGGACAAAGCCATTACGGCACAATGCACATCTCCCTGAGGAAGAAGACCTTTACATGCAAATGATACAATAAGTATGGACATATTCAAAAGGCTGTGTACAATTCCTAACCAGAGGCATAAGATCTGGCGTCCTTTATATCTGCTCTGTTTCGCCAAAAAGGATTCAGGCAATTCAGTTTGGAGCTGTGTGTCTTTGTGTGTGTTGTTTTTGGGCGAGAAATGTAAAAGCCCTCACAACAGGAGGTGTGACTATCCAACAGAAAGGGAGATAAAGAAGGCACCACTCTTTCTATATTTCAAAAAAAACAAACAGTGTTTACTTTGATTCTACTGGCTTTTCTTTGCCAGCTCTACTCGCGGCTGAAGCTGAGCCACAGACGGCGGAGGCTCCCGAGGTGATCTATGATGATGTTCCAAGTGAAGGCCCCCTCTCTCCTGATGAAGGTGAGTAGCTGCGACACACTTTGTGTTTGCTTAGGATGATTGTCCTTTCTGATGCCAAGATTCTGAGGTGTAATATTGTGTGTGTTTTGGCAGATATGATCTACGAAGATGTTCAGAGAGACAGCCGTCCTCTGGATAGAGACAACGGATGGAGCTCCAGTGAGTTTGAAAGCTATGATGAGCAGTCTGATAACGAGACCAAATTACCAACACGAAGCAAGGTAGTATTAGTGAGTTTGTGGACGCATATGTATTCATCTCATTATCATCTCGGTTTATCTTATATGGCATCATGCACGGAACAAACTGAAACGTTGATTTTAATTAAATGTAATATGTCACCAGATTTCAGTTGAAAGCAATAATATTAAAACTAAATATTACGTTCAACTTCATGTTGTTGCTTTCAACTAACCTAATACAGTTATGTGAAATCTGTTGACATAATCCATTTATTTAACGTCAACCTTTTAGATGTGTTGTGGCTGGCCAAGGTTGTTGTTGGTGGGGTTTCCAGCATGAAATAATCAAGGAGAATATTTCATTTCCTGCTCCTCTGGCACAGTCCTCTTTATTAATGTAGAGAACTATAAAGGAATAAAGGAGACCATAAAGAACATGAAAAATGTATTTCAGTCCATCTAGGTCTTAAACTTTCATTGCCGGATGAAAGTAAACAAGAAGCATTTCAGTTTGAAGAGCCTCAGATCTCCTCGCCTTCTTTTCTGCCAAGGATGCTGTTCATCAGAGTTGTGCAGCACGGCTCCAGAGTGTCAGTCTTCCACATGATGGCACTGTGTGCACATTCATACTGCAGCATTTTCTTTATGCTTCGCCAGCCTTCACCATGCATGCATCTCTGCAGACATAGGGAACATTTGGAGCCATAGCAAAAAAACATATTTTTCTCGACTTCAATCATTATTAATCTATAGATGTGTACTCGCCTATACATATTTTTACATTTGTAGGTGTTTGCATATGAATACAATTCTATTTTAAGGCAAGAAAATCAGTGCTTTGAGAAACAAGGGAGACCAAAGAGAATGAAGTCGATGACTGAAATGAGCTGCTCAGGTAATTACAAAAAGGTGTGTTGTGAAAAAACCCACCACGTTTCTTTCAGATTGCTTTTCCCAGACCACTGAACACAAGAAAGGATTCAGCTGCACCGTTTGAACAGTTAATGAAGGAACCTTGACTATTACGGGGCCAACAACACTTTTCTAGCTAGCAAATCCTTCAACCCAAAACACATCGTTTTTAATTACTCGCCTGATTAATTTTTCACCAAGTGTACTTGAAGTTCCCTTGTTCAGTTTACTGCTTAATTTGAGCAGCTTGGAAGAGCTGGGACAGAGTTTGCTTCTCTAATAACTGCCTGCACCCCTCACCCCTCACCCGTCACCCTTCTACAAACCAGTGTCCATAGAGTGGTGCAGTGATGACAGAATGTGAACCCGGAAACTAGCATCACAAGGCTCCCTCTACAAAGATCAACAGGAATGTTTTATTGGTTTTGGAATATTGCTGAAAATAAGCTAAGAAGCAATTATGTTACTTGCATATTTCACCACTTTGATCATTTTTGAAGCATAAAGCAATAGCCAGATGTAAATAGCTAACGTAAGGCTATAACAAACTTCACCAGAGTCTCATTACTTCACATCACCACTTAAAGGGGCCCTTTTATGCTTTTTTGGGGTTACCCTGTCCTGTAGTGTTATATAGGTTTTTGTACATGTCAATCTAAATTGCCAAAGTAACTTCCTGAGGGTACACCTTCCTTAACATAGTGACATCACAATGTAACACTTGCGTTTCTATTGGCTAGCGCTCAAACACATTGTTCGTGATAGGCAAAGGGGCGGGACATCTCTAAGCGGTTGACCAATCCCAATAGAGCCGGCCAGCTAACCAATCAGATCAGACTGGGCTCTGGTTTCAGACAGAAGTTGAAAAGAGGTGCTGCAGCACAGGCAGTATGAGATAAACAAAGACCTCATGTCACAGTAGACTAGAGTCACAAAATACAATTATGAAACCTAATATAGAGCATAAAAATCCCCCTTTCATTGTTAGCAACTGCTGTTTTTATGATACATACAAGGTTAGGGCATTAACGAGTGGGGTACAACAAACATAAGGACGTCTCACCAAAAACCACTGACTTCAAGACGAGCTAAGTGCTAAAATGCTAACTTATTTCCGGGTAGTCAAACTCATCCATGCACCATTCTATAAGTATCATACATCATAACCCCTTTGATCATAGCCGTGCTCCAAGCCTTCACTCTATGCTTGTGATTCATTCCCAATGTTGCGTAGCTTATTTTGCCTTGATCACTTTGCCTCCGTTTCCTTTTTTCTTTTTCCTCTCCCCTACTCTCTTCCTCCTCTCTACGCCTTTCTTGGCTAAACGCGACCTCCCCCCTCTCTCCTTGCCCCGCCTGTCCAACACCTGTAGCTCTCTCCTGACGTGAGTCGGCTGAGGGAACGCTGTGCCAGGACCAAACGAGAGCTGGCCATGAGACTCTCTGGCAAGCACAACTATGACATCAAGGTATATTTCCAGCAGCAAGTGAACACAGCTTTATCACGCTATTTTATCCGCAGAGCTCAAATCTCTCTGCTAGATGTTTGTCTACAGGATTGATGATCACCCAGATTTGAAATATGCTGTGTTTTATGCTCAGCTGGCTCAAAGGCTTAGCTGACTCTGCACCATCCTCTCCCCAGCTTCCCTTTGGACTGTGACTTTGCTTTGAGACTATTCTGTTGATCCCTCTCTCCTTCCCCTGCCTGGTTTAACATCAAGATGCATTTATGGGACACATGAATTATTAAACAATATTCCGCGTATTTACTTCCATAAACGCCAGTGCAACTCGCACCCAATTAATGACCCACTTTCCTGAAGTAGCATCATTTAAAAACGCCACCACCCTGCGTGTATTCTTGTGTGGCTGGAGTCTGGTTGCAGGGCCTCTGGGATGCTCAGGGTGGAGTTTTTGGTCCGCCGGATTCTCCCACACTGAGCCAAACTAGAGCTCACTCTGTTAGGATAATCTAGATGACGCACTCATAGTCTCCCTGATTAGAGGGCTGCGCGGCGACCCGCAGGGAGTCGCAGATGGTGAGATTCACGATGAGCCCACTGACTGAGCGCCACTCCTCTCCATCTCTCTGCAGAGGAGCACCGTAGGTTATCAAGTCTGCACAGCATGGCACTCTAAAGCTCCTCCGTTGTCTCTCTCTGCTCCTTCCTACCAGGTTCAGCAACTCATGAAGGCGGCCAGAAGCGGAACAAAGGACGGGCTTGAAAAGACCAAGATAGCCGTCATGCGAAAAGTTAACTTCCTGCAGAGAAAGGATCAACCGGGTAATGCGGGTGAAGTCTGACCACGTTGTTAACGTTGGTCAGCTGGATCTTTTTGGATGAAAGAGTTCTACTATACTGGATAATGGGGATTGCTTATGAAGTCTTGATTTTTACTCCTTACACTTTCAATAGGCAGTTGCTTGTGTGCAATGTCAGGCAAGCCAAAGTAGCGTTCAAGGCTGATGGAGTAGAAAGTCTTACTTTTTCTTTATGCAAATCCCCTCAGGGTGAAATGAAAGAACTGTGAAGAGAAAAGATCTCACTGATTATAACTATAATACATAAAACAGATAGGCTTTCTCAGTTTTAAGACAAGCTATGTGGTCGAGTAAATTTTTTGAAGTGCAAGAATGAAAAGGATGAGGCAATTCATGCGGTACACGATGGGTTCCTTTATAGGAGCCCTTGCCAAACAATAGTCAGAGATTACCATCCATTAATGCAGCTCTACAAACCATATACCAGACCTACGCCTCAAAGAAATCTCAGAGCCATCACAAAGAGGTAAAGAGGCCAGTGCTGCTATTTTTAGGTGTTGATGGGGTGGGGGAGAATCTGCACGGCATTATATTTATTTTCCCACCAATCCCTCTGTTATCATTCCAAAGACTTTAATTGGAACGGTGGAAGGAAGCTTCTGGTATCTGTGTCTTTATGTTACGGGTGAAGTGGGATTTTTTTTGACTGCCGAATGTCTTTGTGCCAGTGCGGAAATGAGAATGTGTTGGATGGTGTTTTTGCAGATACACTTCTGTGTGCTTCTCTTACTCAAACAGTGATACAGTATTGTTTTGAAAGTTATTTCCTTTTTTCCGAAGGCTTCTCTCTCTCTCTCTCTCTCTCTCTCTCTCTCTCTCTCTCTCTCCATGTCACCCTGATTCTTTTCTCTTTGCCTCCCCCTCTCTCTCTGTTTTCCTTGTTTCAAAAGTCAGCATTCTTGTTCATGTTTTCAGCTCCAGTGAGTCACTCTCTCTCTCTCTCTCTCTCTGCCTCTTCCTGTTCCTCAACACCTCTTTCTCTCTCGCTCTGTCTCTTTCTCAGAAAGTATAGAAACCTCTTCATATTTTCGAGGTAATAAACTTGGTGTGTCGCAATGTGTCTCTAGCTGCAGTGAGATCTGGAGGGTGCCTTTCTGTTTTTCCCTGTCTGGTTTATTTTTCTCACACACACATGCACTCTTTTTCTTATTTTGTACCTTTCTGTATGTTTGTCCTTTATTCCTGAATGTGTGCAGAGGAGGAAGATGATGCAGGATACCTGGATGTGGCCGTGCCAGACGTTAAGCATCCTCCCCCACAGCTGAGCCCAATGCCCGAGGGGCTCACCAGCCACCAGGTGCACCTCACGATTTAACAAGCGCTCTTTCCTAAATGATTTTAACCCAAGAGCTCTAACATCAAGCATTCATGTGAACCCATTGTGTCCCCAACAGCCTTAAGATCAGGCTCTAAGCTGACATGTTAAGAATGATTTGCCAGTCACGTGCTATTTTTACCACTTAACGCTTGCAAAATCTTAAAGCATGTAAAAACAAAAATGCAAATGATGACATTACTGAGCTGGACCACAGTGTCCTCCCGTATTTCCAGCGCAGCTTTGTACCTTGAATAGCATAGCAGTTAAATTGCGGAGAAAGCGACTGTAGACTGCTAACTGCACCGTTCTCATTAGGTGTGGTAACGCTATCCAGTTTCATGAAATTGCAGAGTGAAACATTTGTATTGATTGACACCACTCATTTCTACACATCTATATGCTAGGGCTGCGCGATTTGGAAAAAACTAATATAAATGCAATTATTTTTAACTGCCATATGATTCGCGATATTAGAGGGAATGAACATTCCTGAAACATTAACTTATCATGAAAAATATATTCAAATTATCAGGAAGATCTGTACCAAACAAGGATTTAAAAAAAAAAAAAGATTCTGTAAAATAACATTTGTAGGCCTGGAACTTCTCGACAACACCATAATAGGATTATGATTAAAATCACCTTTTATGAATTGGGACTAGAACCGACAACACTTCAGTTACCAAGCCAAGTCCCTACGGACTTAACTGTTGCAGCGCGAATAATAAATACTTCCAGTATTATATTTTCACACATTTTATAATTACAAATGATTGTGCTTACTGCGATTTTGACATTGCACTAGACCATGTTGCTATTTCAAAAACAAATGTAATTTTGCAGCTCTCTTTGAATCAGATCTTCGATGGGGGCCTTGTTCAAACAGACCTACTGTTCTTTGAGTCTTTTTCCTCCCGTGACAAACACATGATTATTGTTCAATCATCAACCTGCGGCGTGCCTAACTGTGATCACAGTGCACGCTGCCGCCCCATCATGTCCTCTTAGCTCTGCGTTTCCTGACTGGTCTGTTGTCTGCACAGGTTGTCAGACGCCATATCCTGAGCTCCATCATCCAGAGCGAGCGCAGCTACCTGGAGTCTCTCCGGAGGATCGTGCAGGTGAGCTGCTTAGTCCCTGTTGTACTCCACTGCCACATGCAATAACTTCACCATTTAGCCATTATGAATAACACCGGAAAGAGAAGCAGTGATATCCATCAAATTACAGAGGCGTCTCAGCATAAGTAGTCCTGATGAAAACAGCCGCCCTCATTTCTGTGGCGTGGAGATGACGCTAAGAGAGAAAGACTGTAAGGCAGGATGGGATGCAGCCTCTATCTCTCTTTTTAGTGGGGTCTTGTTATCTCCTCATCACAGAAAAATAGGAGCAGCCTACTGAAATGGAATCAGCAGCTATCAACAGTTTCCTTATGTCCTGTAAAGCCTTCCACTGTCGGAATGTAATGAGCTACCTTTGTTGTGGGGTGACATGATTGCGCGTGATGCTTTGGAGGTTTAGCTCGTTTGAAATCTCTCTAGTTATTCAGGGAGTCCAGCTGAATGCTAAACGTAGTGTCCCCAGACTGATAACATATACAAGATGAAAGGCCACAAGCACAATTAGACTTTGTATTATTGCAGTAAAACAGATTGCACATCTCATGTTAATTCTTCTGTCGATGATTCATTTGCTTTGATGGATTTGCGGAGAAAGAACTTGTAATGAAAATTAACACCACAATTGCTTTAAAAGAGTATTTTTCATCTTTTACATTTAGCTTGTTCTTAATATCTATACTTTGGTATGTTTCAAGCAAGCCATGTTTTCTGCCTCCCACAGAGAATCTTGTCCACAAACAGCCTGACAACGGATTTCTGTCGGCCATGCTAATACTCCCATGCGTTCTGACTGAAGAATCAATCAGGGCCTCTTTTACCAGGTTGCTTTTGCATCTGTCACTCTGCTGGGAGCTTCCTGTCGCCATTATTATTTTGGCTTTTATGATTACAAGTCACCTTGAGTTGTGAACATGTTTGCACACGTCAAATGTTTTGCAGGCGACTCCTTTAGATTGAAGGCACCATGACTACATTTCCTAATTTCCGCCTGATTCACAGGATTTGTTTCTGCTACCTATCAGTTGTCTATTTATGCTACTATAGGAAGAGATGTAAAGGAAGGTGGGATGCTGATTTCTCTTAAAGCCCCTCCACCAAACACATACATGTACATATCAACAACCAATTTCTTCTCTCAATCCCACCAGGAATACCAGAGACCGTTGATGGAAGCCGACCCACGCATCCTGAGCTCGAGAAAGATCCGGCCTATATTTTTCAGAATGAGGGAGATCACACAGTGCCACTCCATGTTTCAGATTGCTCTGGCGTCACGTGTCGCCGAGTGGGACAGCTGTGAGAAAATCGGGGACTTATTTGTTGCCTCGGTAGGTGTCCTGCATGTGCATGTTTTTTGTATGTTTCTCCATATTTGTGAACTAGGAGTGAGACTCATACAGCGTGTGTATACATTGTTTTTGTTTCAGTCTTAACATGCAATCAATAACATGCATGCTGGGTAAAGAAACTCCTTTTTTTCTGTATAACACAATATCTGCTCCCACGGTTGTAATGAGCTGCAGGCTTAAGGTTGAGCAAACAGGGGTAGCTTACTCCCAAACGCAGAATCAATTACACATGTGATGAATATCTCCACTGCATCCAAACCACTCCGGGATATGTGTTTAAACATTTTGGCACTACAATAATAGTGTTCAGTGTGAGTTTTCTGTAGCGAGTCTGCAGTGTGCTCATCCATAAGGCCTGCTCATTATTTGCCTATTAGAGGAACCCTTTTTTTCTCTGCTGGACATTATAGAGCTGTTTCATTGATATCCCCATTATTAAATAAGAGCACACTGGAAATGGAAAGTGCTGGAACTCCCTTTATTGAGCTTATTGTTGCAATGTATGTACCTGCAAAGTAATATGTTGTAGTAATACCGAGAGGCAGGATCCTGAAGGAGGCTGCGAGCAAAGAGGGTTAATTCCTTCATGCAATGTGCTAATCCCCCATCACTCCTAAAACTGTCACTATCGGCTGCCTGGTGTGAGTTTAATTGAGGAGAGAGAATAAATGTCTACTGCAAATCCGACACACCCCCACACACACACACACACACACACACACACACACACAGCGTCGCACTCGGTCACCTCATTCCTCTTTGCCCAGCCTCTTAAATGGCTCGTGAAGGGTGTTGTGGTAACTGGAATGGTAAACAAAGCATTTTTTGTTGTTAAAAGCACTATACTTAAAGGGCTATTTTCTTGCCTCTCTTTAGAATGAAATTACCTATAGGTCGCCCTGAAAACATTATGGTTAGCAAAATATTCAAGATGTCAAAAGAAATGACATGACTGTGTTTGTGGATGACAAAATAAGACATGGCAGTACCCTCTCATTGTTACGCTGTTGTTAATAATTCAGATAATCATCTTGTTTTGTTTCCGCAGTTTTCCAAGTCCATGGTGCTTGATGTATACAGTGATTACGTGAACAACTTCACCAACGCCATGGCTCTCATCAAAAAGGCCTGCTTGTCCAAACCGGCTTTTCTTGAATTCTTAAAGGTGAGATTTTCTTTGTTATTTTTGCTTTCTGAATCTTAACGTTACCCAATTGGTTTGTAGCTCCTCTATTTGTTATTTGTTGTAGTATTGATCTATGGTCGCCAACATGTGCCAAACGCGCTACACGGACCAAATACATTTTCGTTCTGCAGTTTCAAAAACGATGCAAATATTTAAACACAAATGTGCCAAAACACATGCAAATAAAGAAACATCTTCACCAACTTGACAAAACGTGCACAACGTTTACTAAAAGCAGTGTATAAACGAAACTACAAATACAAAACTCTGCAAGTAGCTCAAAACATGACGCAAAGCAGGAAATTAAAAGGTGATGCATACAGCTAGGACCTGAGCGCAAGTTGATGAAAAGGGATTTTAAAGTTGGTCAACTGTCACTGGAAACTAACCTTAAATGTATGTTTTATTGGCTTATTTTAGAATGTGATTACATGATTCCTTCCAATATTATTGCAGATCTGCTGTAAGCTAGCTAGCTAACGTAGCCAACCTAGTCATTTCAAATATACTGACAAATCACTCACAATTGTAAAACATGCCAATGGTGACAGCCTGCCAACAAGCTGTGGGCATCACTTTAGTGTCCCTGTTTCAGCATTTTGCAGCCTGTTTAATTTTTGTTTGCAGCGTTTTGTTGATATAAGGCTTTTAGTTAACGCTGCGCATGTTTTGTGAAGTTGGTGAATGTTTTATAAATGCGGTTTCTTAATTTGCATGTGTTTTGGCACATTTGTGTTTATATATTTGCATGGTTTCTTAAGTTGCAGTGCGTTTTTCCTACTCGGAGTGTTTTTGGCCAGTGTAGCGTGTTTACACCTGTCTGCCACCGTACTGTGCAGATATTGAAACTAGCAAAGCCCCATAGCTAAATATTTCAATAATATACACCACTAGGTATTTGTATATAATAATATGTTTTTTCACACAAAATAGTAGTTTTGTGCTCATAGTATGTCAACTACAGCAGCAATTTGTCTGAAGCACTGTATAACCGACTGTGGTAGATATTACACTGACATATCCCAAGTGTCCATATTCCAGCTATTATAAGAGGTTTACTCTCAGAATATGATACTTCTTGGTATGTTTTGTAGGCTGCTCTTTGCACATTTAAAAAAAAGTATATCTTCAAAAGCTATCAAGAGTTTCATAATAAAAGATGGAGAAATCTTCAAATGAATGAATTCCATTGAGGCTGGTTAACAAAAAGAAGAAAATTGCAACCCCTTTAGTTCATTTAGTAGTTATGTGAAATGCAATTTGACGACTTTCCAGAACCAGACAATCATGATCGGTTATACTTTTACGTTTTTCAGATACTGTATTAATTAGCGATCATGAACAAAGCAAAAAAGAGCCTCGCTTCACGGAGAGTGCCAAGGAATTATTTAAATGTGCTGAGTTTAACAATTCCCTGTGCGCTCCGCTTTCATGCATGAGTGTGACCTGTATCATCGAGCAGTAATGCTGATTTACAGAAGCAGATCCCACAGCTGACAGCCCTGCATGTTACATCCTGACCACACGTGTGCCTGCTTTCTTTTAAAAGGTTTCCATGTCCCTCCTGCTGCCTGTTGGAGATCTAACTGTCAGTGTGAAGATGAACAAAATAATAACGTGGCTAGACACGCACTGAATCAATCACAGACTTCATTACCTTGCTTTTAAAACATTGCGGAGGCACTGAGTGCATGCACATGGCCATGAACACGCAGGGCAAATCGACAGGTATAGGGGCCATTACTTTAAGCGCTTAAAGGAAATACAATGTAATATGAGGACTGCATCTAGTGAGTTTGGTGTAAATCTTTAAAAAAAAAAGAGGAATACCTTAAGAAATCTCATCCTCTGGATCAATTCTACAATTGTTCAAGCACATACATTCTCTTTTTTGATACATTGATAAACAATAAAAAAAAACTGCAAATCAGACAATTCAAAAAATCTCAAAAGGTCATTGTCTTCAAAACCACTACTGCATAATAAATTCTCATAAAAATAATATGATAATGAAGTGGGCATAGAGTTTGGTTATGTACTAGCAATTGTAGCAAACACGTTTTTCAGCCTGAAAATCATGAAACCAAAAGTGGCATTAATCGTGTTTTTCCAAACAGTGTAGTGTAGCATTATCCAGTTCAGTGGTGAGAGGCAGTGTGGAGGCGGCTGTTGCTACGATGACAGGACTTATTAATAAACTGGCTGGAAGTGTCATGGGTCTAATCTAGTTCACATCAGCTGTGAAGGGAAGGGTCTGTTTGACGGGTCCAATGACATACTAAGTCTTGTCCTTTTCCCTTTTCCTTCACATCAAAAGTAGGTGCCAACCAACATTAGCACAAGTGGCAGTTCCATCAGTTCCAGCATACCAGTAAAAGCTGATGCTTTCTGCTATGCTGATAAGGTTGCCTGGCAACAAATATGCATGTGTGTTCAGTAAGGTAGCTGACCGAGCCGTAGAGGTTCTGATTCATATATCACAACAAGATGTATGTCCATTGAATTATACTCTGCCCAGTAAGAGTTAAAAGACTCTGTAAATATAGTATAATAGTCACTAACAAATCCAATCCGTTTTCTGTATTGACGAAAACAAGTCACAGCATGCTCTATTTCACACATGTTTCACTCTCTAATGGGATCTTAAAGCTTGACCACTCTACGCTGCAGAGCGGCTTCCTGAAATGTGCAGCTACCTGCTCAGCCAGTCAGCTCTAATCTGTTGCAATGGTACTAGAATCCACTTTCATTCAGTAACCGTAAGAAAAACATGACATTGAAATGACCTGTGGTTAAAGGAAACCACTTTTCCACCTTGCGCTTTTTGGTGCTGCTCCACCTGCCGAGCATACCACAGTCCGGATCAGGAGGCTCTTTGCCTGTTTGGACTGCAGCTTGCTTACCTCAGAAAGTGGTTACATTAAAAAACGTTCTTGTTTCATTACTAATGAAGCAAACTTCAGCCTACTCTCCAGATGACATTAGAGGATGAGGTGTGGGGGCATGAGTCTCTGAAGAAATCTACCGGAGCGTTATTCATTTGTCCAAAAATGTGGACCGGAAATGAATCTGATTAAAACCTGAAGTGCACAGAGCGCCCTAATTGACCAGATAATAATAATAATAATAATCTAAAAAACATCAGCCTGTACAGACCCACTGGCAGCAGCATGACTCGCAGGCAATTAACAAGCAGCTGCAGTGGAAAACAGTCATTTTACTGCGCACCTCTCGTCTTTCTCCTGTCTATATTATAAACAACCATGTTATTAAACTTATAACAAGTCCACTCTGATTCATGTAATCATCAGATATATTTTTTCGGTGGTGGTGCGGTCATCTTTCAAACAGGTTGTGTGTTTGATCCCAGCCAATGCAGTCAACATGTCGATGTATCCTTGGGCAAGGTACTTAACCCCAAGTTGCTCCCAATGGGTCTGGGAATGTGTGTGACTGTTAGCTTCCTTGAGCAAGTGGATGTGAAGTGCTTGTAGGGATCGTAAAGACTGGATAAAGCGCTATGTAAAAGCAGTTAATTGTACGTTTCCATTTATCCAAAATGAAAAGACTCTACCTGAGCCAATTAGCGTGAGTGATTTTCAACCAGCCAGTCTCTGTTTCTAACTATAGGAACCTATGAAACCCCTGAAGACCTCATATTCTTCAGAGTTTCCTCAGCTCTCATGCGAGGAACCTTGTGGCGGCTTTGCCCTATCCACTTCCCTACCTAACCCCAAGCTGTCAGGTCACCTTCTGGCTGGTTACATCAAATAACCCATGATTCTTTGCGTTCACTTTGGTGTTTCCTACTGGTGATTATAACCGTCTAGACTTCTCTTTCAACTTATAGAATTCAGCTCATGTCCTGAGAGATCAGTCAAGTGAACAACTGATGCATTGATATGATCCCAGGCAGTGTTATGGTTTTATACTGTGCATTTTAGACAGGTTTCACTGAACACGACAGCCCTTCATAAGAGATATAGAGAGGTTCTCCTTAAAACCCCCCTCAGCCTCAACTGCCTCTCTAACTGAGACCACTCAACCATTTTCAGTGCATGAAGCAGGAAAGAGCCCATCTCCATTGACACCTTGACCCTCTCAGGTGCCATGTCAATATCTGGTATGGTTATGCTTCTGTCCAGTTGCTGAGCATTGGATCTTAAGACTAGAATTAAATCTGTGAGACCACTGCCTTCCTGTCCTCACCTGTGATTTCATAGGGTTAGGTTGATTTTTCGCGATTTGTGTATAAGATATATTGCTATAGCAAGGGGTACCACATAGGGCACATCTCAAGTAAAGTAAAATATTTCACTGTCAATTAAAAAGTAGTCTTCTGTCATACTGTATCAACCAAATAAACCCAATGGCTAACTTGGCAACGAAAGACGGGCTAATCAACAACTTAAAAGTTGTTCAGAATAAACCGGCTATCTGTCTTTTATCTATCTCACTGGCATTTGGCATGCAAATAATTTTAGAAGGATTGTTTTGACTTTTTAGTTTGTCCACCATTGGGAATCTGGTGGTCCTGTTTTTTTGTGTTTTCACCTGCCTGTGTTCAATTTGTGTAAAGTCAGTCAAGCTATTCACAGGTGGAGCATCTAATTTCTGCATGCTGTGAGTTTACAAGTTTCTGAATCAAAGGTTTACTAGTTAGACACATTTACTCATAAGGTAGTGATATGCAAAAATTACCAAACTAATATTTTTGAACAAATCTTTGTAGTGTCCGCTACTTGGCAGGTAACACACTGATACTTTGACAAACACACAGACAGCCTGGCTTTCATCTCCACTGGCATTTTGTCAGGAACACATATTCACACAATACTGGGCTGTAAACCATTCTAGTTAATTTCAACTTGGATTGGAGGAATTAAAAAGTGTATACACCTGCAGAAGTTTTTTTTGGAAATAGCATATTAAACCACACAGAAATCCAACAGTCTAGAACAGTAATAATTTAAATACATATAAGCATATCCGCTCACAGTAGGTCATCTAAAAAATATGCATGACTATATGAATATCATAGAGTAATGAATGCCATATTATGCAAAAAGTGTCATAACTCAAAAGGTTCAATACATGTGAAAAGAGTCTGTCTGCACACAAACTATTATAGCGCCAGTACAATGGGGAATGTCATTTCACCCTACAAGGTAATGTACATGTCAGTTTGAGTACTCAATAAGTGGTTGAGCCTTTAGAGCCTGTCAAAGGGCTCCACATGCTAAGTGCTAAGGTTATTAAATGCAAATGTAACCACCGATTTCTCTTTTAATGTCCAGAACAACAACGCAGTATCTGAAGTTCCTGTGCTTGGCTGGTATTCATCATTCATTTCATGTAGTTGGTAATATACAGCCTTTGATGGTTGAATACAATAGTCAAATATAAAGAAAATACTTAAAGAGGCTCTATTATACTTTTTGGGGTTTTCCTTTTCTTGAAGTGTGTTGTATATGTTGTGTGCATCTGCTAAGGCTAACCCAAAGTTGGATCCCATTATAGTCCTTTGTTTACTTCAGTAACATAGTTACATCACTATGTAACACTCACGCTAGCGCTCAAACACAATGTACGTGGTTAAGGGGAGGGACATTTCAGAAAAATCTCTAAGCGGTTGACCAATCACAACAGAGCCGGCCAGCTAAGCAATCAGAGCAGACTGGGCTCTGGTTTCAGACAGAAGGTGAAAAGAGGTGCTGCAGCACAGGCAGTATGAGAAAAATAAAGAACTTCTCAACAAAATATACACATATATATTTATATTCTACATGCATCAACTCAAATGGGCAAAAACTAGAGAACAATTAGTATGCTTCAAGTATACACAAGTTTGTATGTAATATAGTGCTCTGTTTCACAGATGTTCTCAGATCTCTAGAGTTTCACTAAGAGTTGATCTTATCCAACCTTAACAAGCGCACCATCTATTAAATGTGCCCTCTTATTTGCCTTTTTCCCACTGATGATAACATTGTTGTACAGACGTGACGCTGCCCCGAAATGATCTTGGCCTGACCTACGCCCACGATAATACTTTAGACATAACACACTCAAAAAATATCCTCTTTCATGCCGTGATGTTCATACCTTATTCACCCACGCAGACGCCTACAAAAGGTCTATAGAGGACTCACACAAGCTCCTCTTAAAGTAAGAATGGCGTGGTTTCCTCTTAATAGCCTTTCTGTGCTTGAATATTTTTCCAACTGCATGTTTCTTCTTTCTCTTTTTGTCATCAGAAGAAGCAGGCATGCAGTGTTGACCGGATCACTCTGTATGGACTCATGGTTAAACCCATTCAACGCTTCCCTCAGTTCATACTGCTACTGCAGGTAAACAAATGTTTGGTTATTAAAGCGCTATTTCATTTGTTTTAATGTTACTACTTTTCTTGTTGGGGTTTTCCCTTTCCTGTAGTGTGATATTCAGTTTTGTGTGCATGTGAATGGTCTGCAAAGGCTAAAAAAATCCCAAAGTTCCCCCCAGAGGGAGTTTCTGTCCCACACAGCGTTTCAGGCAGGGGGGGGGGGTGGCTGCCTGAAACGCCTCCATTGGACTCCTTCGTTTACTTCTGTAACAAAGTAACATCACTGTGTAGCACTCACGCTTCTATTCGCTAGCGCCAACACATTTTACGGGATTTGGGGTCGAGAAATGTTTGGGCAATCACATCAGAGCCGGCTAGCTAACCAATCTGGGCTCTGGTTTCAGACAGAGGGTGAAAAGAGGTGCTGCAGCAAAGGCAGCATGAGAGAAATAAATACCTTTTTGAACATTAAAGCAAGTAAACATGCCCCAGTAGACATTACAAATACAAATATAAACCTGGAAATGAGCAGAATAGGGCAACTTGGATTAGCAAGCACCCTCAACATGAGAAATGAGGCGGAATAAAGATACAGCAGCTGATACACTAATAAAGCTGCGAGGTGACACATTTAAACTTTTCCAAATTTCACAAAGTTGCACATACTTTTACACTGGGGTTATCAAGTGCTAAAAAAGTAGCTAGCCACATCAGTTTTTCATATTGCTGGCTTTACATCCCGACCCCTTCATTTTCCATTCTGAGCAAAGATTTGGTTTGAGCTTCACTCGCTGGATCTGCAGAAGCTCATTTCATCCCTCAGTAGGCATTGATTATCCATGAATTCAAAAGATAAGTTATGAATGCGAATCAGGCGTTTTCTTCCTAGCCCTAAATTCACTACTCCAAAATAGTAAGTGTATATTAAATCATACATTACAGGGAACCAGCGCTTAAAGCACTGAGGTGCGTCTGAGATGCATATCAACACAACAGCAGGCTTTCACCGGGTCGTTGATACAGCACATAGACATGCGAGCCACAAAGACTACGCTTAGACTTAGTTTGTTTTAGCCAACACTGCTCACAAAAGGGCAGAAGTTGCAATACAACAAGCTTTACACTGGAAAGAAAGTGTGTTGTACACAGTTAGATCCTCTGAGTATTTGACTTTGGCAAAGTTTGGAAAGATATTAAACATTCTAATCAAAGTGGGTTGACTTTGCAAACTTCCAAAAAAGTCAAAACATTTCCTCAATTCAATTTTTCACGGCATCAGAGGTGGGAGAAGTATTTAGATCTTGTACTTGAGTAGAAGTAGAAGTACCAGAGTGTAGGAATTATCGGTTACAAGTAAAAGTCTTGCATTCAAAATGATACTCTATTAAAATTACAAAAGTATTTCTGTCAAAATATACTTAAAGTACCACAAGTAAAAGTACTCATTATGCAGATTGGTCCATTCCAGAATAATATCTATGACATGTTCTGATTATAATTATTGATGCATTGAAGTGTTATCAAAGCTGGTGCAGCTAGTTTGAAAGACTTTGTAAACTGCAGGGAATTTACTCCAGGTGTTACTAAAGTGTGGTGGAGTAAAAGTACACGATTTACATCTGAATTGTAGTGGAATAGATGTACAAAGTAGCATAAGATATAAATACTCAAGTAAAGTACAAGTATAGTTTATATTATTAGTAAATGTACTTAGTTACTACTTGCAAGGCAATGAAAACACTTTTTACTTGAACACATGATTTTGTCACAGTTCATTATATTGCAGTACACTGAAGATATTATTAAATCAAACACAGACACTGATTTTTATTTTAAACTTGCAGTGGCTTAACTTAAAACTTTCCCTGTGACCTTTTCCCAGGACATGCTGAAGAACACTCCGAAGGGCCACGTGGACCGCCTGCCCCTGCAGCTCGCTCTCACAGAGCTGGAGATGCTGGCGGAGAAGCTGAATGAACAGAAACGAGTCGCCGACCAGATTGCAGAGACTCAACAACTAGCCCGCAGCGTCAGTGATCGCCTGCTCAGTAAGGTGACTGGACACACACTCCCTTGTGCACGTACACACTTGCACATACTGTATGCCCCAATCAAATGGACTGTGAGTCTGAGCCCTCTGGTTGTTATCACCGTGAGCCAAACACCTTTACATTTAACTAGTATATAGCAATCGCTTATATCACTTTCCCGCACATTAATCTAGTGTGGCATTTTTGTTTAGAGAAATGATCTCCCAGAAATGATGCCCATTATCATTCCTAAACAGTACCAACTGCAATGGCGGAGGCGTTGCTTCTCCATTACCACACTGAAATTACATTCCTGCCGCTGCAAATCTGAACAAATGCTGCTCTGAATAAGAAGAATTAGGGGGTAAATGAGACATTTAATTGGAAACTGTAAGAGAGCTATCTCTTTCACCCTGTCACTCTTTCCTCCTCTCTCCACTTTCCCCTCTCTTGCACTCCCTTTGCTCACTTTCTCCCTCCACTTATATGCTCCTCTTCTCTCGTTCTCCAGCGTTACCACATCTTCCTCGCTCTTCCTCTCCTTCTCTTGAACCTTTTCCCCTCTTTATTTCTCTCTATCAGCCGTTGCTTTCCAGGACTCCGAGATGAGCTGATTCGGCCAAATCTCCTCCACTCCACACAGAATTCCATTTGCTGCGGTGACACAGCAGAATTCCAATAGGAAACGGTCTCCTCTATTGCCCCCATAAGCATCCAATGAAATATTCATTCTTTGTCTCAAAGTATCTAAGTTGGCAGAATAGGACGGATAACAGTGTGAGTGAGGATTGGTTTCACACACACTCCCACACACACATGTGCAGTGCCCTCTGTGCCTATTGACGCTTGAAGACTTTAAGGGTGTATTCTTATTGCAGCCCACCTCTTCAGGGAGCTGTTCGCTTTGTGGCCATCAAACGGCACTCGTACTCGGACTAATGACTCATTTTGTGTGCAATCCGAGCCGCAGCTACAGATGACCTGCGGATAGGACATCCTCCCTCTTTAAAATGTGGTCACATGAGTTACTGCACTGCAGGTTGTAGATCGGACACAGCAGAAAGAATCATTATTTGCTAAGAAATGTGTGCCTTTTGAACAAACATCAAAGTATCAGGATGTGAACTCCATATTTGGACTTAACCCACTGCTTTCAGTATAGACTTTGATGAGCCTGCCTTAGATTGAAGCAGTATGCATAACAGTATTGATTAACAAGTCATAAAAGAAGCTGGACCAAAGTGATAAAAGAAAGCTTTCTGTTGCTATTTCTCTTTGCCAAACATATGGATGACTGGAAAGCACAGCGTCTGCCAACATACTGTAGCATAAGCTGCGTCTGTTACGGATCGATCAAGTGTGTGTGATTGAGTGTTAAGGTGTGCATGCAGCAAACTGTTCATGCGTGTCTATCCATGTGTAGTTTCCTCATTGTGGTGGAAAGGATTGTGTGTCCCCGTGCTCAAACGCTAAGCCAGGTTAGACTGTGGTGGTAGTATAGGGGATAGCGTGGTGCAGAGAAAAAGACAGAATGATCTAAAGGACGTGTTAAAAGTATTTAGGACCAAAAAACAGTCTGGCAGCCTCTGTTGCATCCTTAAAGTAAGTCTTTAGGTCCCTTTCATTACATGTGTGCAGCTCAGAGATACTGCATGCTTGCTTCAACTAAGTTTGCTGACACTAGTGTGTGTGTGTGTGTGTGTGTGTGTGTGTGTGTGTGTGTGTGTGTGTGTGTGTGTGTGCATTAAAATGACCTTCGGCGGCATGAAAGTGTAACTAATCCCTGATGAGACGTTGCTTCCTCCAAGGCTGACTGTGTCCTCCACACGCTGAACTCTGGAGGACTGGCTCTTTGTGCCACTGTCTCCTCCGACTCTGATCTGATTGCTGTGTCCCTTTTTAGCAACTGAACTCTGAGCAGGGGTCACTGGTCCTTTGTGAGACGCTCATCGAGACTGTGTACGGCGAGCGGGGACAAGTCCTGAAGTCGAAGGAGAGAAAGGTCTTCCTCTTTGATGATGTGCTCATCTGCGCCAACATAAATGTCAAGTAAGTCCCTCATGTAGAACAAGACGAGCTAAATGCCCTCAATGTGTTCAAAGATGCTCTGCTAATGCGTTCATAATGCGCAGCTCCAGCATGAAGTTGTGTGTAAGTTAGGAAATGACAGTCTGCTAAACTGCACAGTTAGGATAAATAGCTATTAGCTGGTGCAGGGCTCTAAAGTGACACCCTAGGTTTTTGCACAGGAGAGAGAAATAGCTGCTAGCGCATTCAAGCACTATCTGCACTCGCAGGAGCCTTATCAGCTTTAAACAAATGGTAGGATGCCTAACTACAGCTACAGGAGTCTTGGATTACTGACATAAAACATTTTTGGGTTTCCTTCCAATTTATCTTCTGTGACAGCACCATTGATCACATCGCTCTCCAACTCTCTCGGCCTAGAAGTAAACAGGAAAAGCTCCTGTCAGGGAAGTCGCTTAAAGCCCTCTTGTTCAGCCTTCAAAGTAATTATCGCTCTACGTCTCATTCAACTCAAGTGTCCCGAAGTTGACTTTGTCTGCCCTCCAGGATCTTGACAAACCGATCACAATGTTGATTGTCTCCTCGATTACTGGAATACATGAATAACAATGAACTCCTCCTCACAGCTGGGGGTACAGTTTATGCAGGGAACATGGCTTGATCGCACTGATTCTGATTCTCACTCCAGATTCCTCTTCCTGACATTTCTCGTCGCGGGATCGGGAGGGGAGATTCCCTCAAGTTATTTTTCTTTCTAAACTCCCTTTTCTAATTTGTATTTATCTCCACCAGGGGGCCCCCAGATATCAGCAGCTTGGTCCCAGTGGGGCCCAAGTACACCATGAAGTGGAGCGCCCCCCTGCAGCAGGTGCAGGTGGTGGAGGTGGGGCAGGAGGGCTCTCAAAGCAAAGACACCTTCTTCCAGCAGAGCGGGGCCAAGCGTCCAGGTGGAGCCTGCACTTCAGGTAAAAAAACTATTAGTATCCGTTTTATTACCAAGTAGGTTTACACACTGAGTAAGAGGACTTTGCTTTGGTACCAAGTAGGGATGGGAATTTGAAAGCAAATGTATATTAGAATATTCAACCCCCAAAAAAACGGTTAACCAATCAACCGAAATGTACATATCCTATAAAAAAATAAATAAACGTGGGAAAAAAAATTACAAAAAAAAAAAACCTGAATAATTTCGAATATTCGATTAATCGTTCCCATCCCTTGTATCAAGGTGCATGCAAAGACACAGAAAGAGGAATACGTAGCAACAAATAGTACTCTTATAACATATTTTTTAAAAACAATTGAAGACTGTTGTAATAAATAAAAATAAGGACAATATATACACAAAACATACATATTTGAGAAACTGAGTACCGTAAAAATATTACAATTATTATATTCAAAGTGGAGAACTGTGCAAATAAAAATAAAAATTGTGTGGAGCAGAAATGTGCAACATGTTCAAGGGTACCGCAGGATTTAGAATATTAAAAAGAACAACATATTGTTCGCATGATGTGTATGTTATACATAATGTTATGGGGGTGGGTTTGGGTCAGTGTGATTCTCGATTTGCTCATTCTGAATGTGATGCCTGCAACCCTATCCAAAACAGCTGGGACAAGGTCATGTCACCACTGTGTTACATCACCTTTCCTTTTAACAACACTCAATAAGCGTTTGGGAACGGAGGACAGTAATTGTTGAAGCTTTGTAGGTGGAATTCTCTCCCATTCTTGCTTGATGTAAGACTCCCGTTGCTCATCAGTCCAGGGTCTCGGTTGTCGTATTTTGCGCTTCATAATGCGCCACACATCTTCAATGGGAGACAGGACTGGACTGCAGGCAGGCCAGTCTAGGACCCGCACTATTTTACTACGAGGCCACACTGGTGTAACTTGCAGGAAGTGGCATTGTCTTGCTGAAATAAGCAGGGGATTCCCTGAAAAAGACGTAGATAAACCTAAGGTTTTATCATTTTGAACATTACATATCTTGTCTCTGTAGTGTATTCAATTGAATTTAGGTGCAAAAGGATTTGCAAGTCATTGTATTCTGTTTTTACGTTTTACCCAACTTCATTGGAATACGGGTTTGTATTTAATCATGGGTGTGATTCCTAGAGAGTTTTTGTGAGATTTGCCAGAATTCTTTTCAATTGCGCATTGAGCGAATACGTTTTGAAGAGACGTTACGCGAAACTCAGAAGAAACGCCAGGCTCGGAAGAAAATATCGATCTATAGATATATTCCTCCTGAAACTTAAAGAGGATTACTGAACAGATCAGGTAGCAGCAAGGCAAGTTTATTTATTTATTTATATAGCACCTTTCAACACAAGATGATACAAAGTGCTTTACAAAAATGAAAGAAAAATAAAAGCATTAAGAAATAGTGCAGCGAAAATAATGACCGCCTACCACTCTGTGCCGCACTCAGTCACACAGGTCAGCAGTCTGTGGTAGGAAGCTAGCTCCAGTCATTTTACCAGACTCTTGCTAAAGAATACAGAAATATATGTATGATAGTTTGTTGGAAAACATTTCCATTCAAACCAAATATTTAATTCTGCATAGTTTGTGTAAACAATTAAACCTAAGAAAATCAGTGTTATTAATATGCATAAGCTAACAGTTTCAATAGACATTATAATTACATCTTAACTAGCTCTTATCATTGCAGTAACATGTCCAGCATTGTCCCGCACAAACACACTCTTTGTCCCACATGTGGCGTGTTGGCACCTGGTCAACCTATCCCCCCCTCCCCAATGTGTCATCATTTTAATCTCATCACTTGGACCGACTTTTAGTCCCGGCCCCTCACTCTGACTCAGCAAGGCTAATCTGTTCTCTACGGAGGGGCTGGAGATGCATCCGTGTTGCTTGTCACTCTGATTGAGGATGTGTTTGTGAGGAGGATAGTGATGACGGTCGCTTGTTCCAATCTGCCTAGGGTGTTTTATCTTGGAGAGCGATGCGGGGGTGGAGATCCCCCTCGCCGCAGCATCCCCACAGTCTCATTTCACTCTCTGATAGACCACAAACACATCCAGAGTGGAGTCATCAATCTGCAGAGATGATTCCCTCCCTTTCCAGGCCCAATTAGAGAGCCAGTAACAGTAGATAGGAATCAATGGTTGAAAACACTAGTTCTCCCACCGACCCTCCCTACACTATGGTGTATACAGAGCTTGAGATCCCTGATAAATGTGCCATGGGAGAAGAGAGATACAAAAGCCTTATCAGGATGTAGTGGTACAGGCTGTTTTTTTTAAGTTGCAGAGCCATGACTCAAATATTAATGGTTGCTTTCTTCAGAGCTACCGGTGTCATGCTCAGCAAGCAGCAACTGTTATGGGAGCTGTTTCAGATTCTCTCCGGATTAAGTTTGGCTTTTTAACTTTCAGCTAGCGTATACTTGTAAACTCACAACTTTGCTGCAAGGTTTTGGGATCATTTAGGGTTAGCGCTAAATGCAGCAGTCTCCCTTCCTCTACCTGCATCTAGTTATTTATTTATTCATGATTCATTATCACAGTTCCAAAATAAAGCAGGAAACTGATGCATAGAGAGTTTATAAATATTGCACATTTTCAACAATTGTTCAATTGTTGTCAGCAGTTAAGCTCCAGTTTTGGTGTAGTGAAAAATATACATTTAAATACATTTCATGAATCTGAATTACATGTACATTTGAAAGCATTACATACCACAAAACATTTTCTTAATTTAGAGTAAATCTGCAAGAAATATGTACATCTTTAGTTGATGTTAGCTTAAACTCAACATCTGGTGTATCAGAATAAGAAAGACTTTAGGAAAACAAAAGAAACATTAGATACACATAAGTAATAAAAGTAATATGTCCAATAAAGATAACTTAAAAATATACAAATATGATAGAAACATAATAATAATAATAATAATGATAATACATTTGATTTATATAGTACACTTTAAAGACAAACGTCATCTCAAGGTGCTTCACAAAGCTGTAAGGAAAAATAAGTAAAAATATATCGAAAGGAGCATATTGGATAAAAAAATGGCAATATAAAAAAGAAAAGGTTTAGAGCATAAAAGGTTTAAAAATAAATAAAGTAAAGGACAGTCAGTAAAATGTGGTGTGGAACAGGTGGGTCTTGAGGCATTTCCTAAAAACTGAGAGTGATGCCGAGGTCCGTATGTTCTATGGAAGCTGACTCCACAGACGTGGACCCAGGGAGGAGAAAGCACGGTCTCCCATGCTGACCAGTTTTGTCCGCGGGACAGCCAGGAGATTGGAGCTGTCTGGCCTGAGTGTGCGTGAGGTATGGGAATGTTTGTTGGTTAGCAGTTCCTGTAGGTAGGTGGGGCCAGTGTGTTTGGCGTTGAAGACCATTATGAGGACTTTTTAGTTGATCCGGTGTGTTACAGGGAGCGAGTGGAGTGAGTGAAGGATGGGGGTGATGTGCTCTGATTTGCGTGTTTTTGTGAGTATCCAGGCGGCACAGTTTTGTAAGGAGTTAAATGCTTGACACTCCAAGGAAGTAAACAGTCTGATGGCCACAGACAGGAAGGACTTCCTGCGGCTCTCTGTGGTGCATCTTGGTGGATTGAGTCATTTACTGAAGCTGCTCTGTGCCTGACCAGCGTCTCATGGCGTGGGTGGCAGACAACATGTTCCGTACCCTGGACAGCATCCTCTTTACTGACACAGCCGTCAGACAGTCCAGCTCCCCCCCACACAACATCACTGGCCCTATGGATCACTTTGTTGAGTCTGTTGGCGTCTGCTTCCCAAGCAAACAACAGCACCAGGACAGCACTGGCAACCGAAGACCCATAGAACATCCTCAGCACTGTGCGGCAGATGCTGAGGGACCTCAACCTCCTCAGATAACAGAGGCTGGTTTGACCCTTCATGTCGAGGGCCTCAGTGATTTAACAGCAGTCAAGTTTATTGTCAAAATTTTAAAGGATTTAATATCTGTAAATATTGCTATTCCCCATGCTACTAGTTATTCTGTTACTGTCTTGTCTTTGAATATATCTGGAAAGAGACTCTGGAGCTAGACTGTTAATACATTTCAAAGCAAATTCGATAAAAACAAAAATGAGTAAACTCTCAAAGCTGAGTAGATTGTCTTTTTAGGACGTGACAGTGATGCCGCCCAACTGGCTTTTTATGCATGAGTATAGCCTTTTCAGTGCCTGAGTATATTAGGAAATGTTATACCCTTCAGTGCAGTTTTATTTTATACCTTTTCAACATTGCGGTCACTTCAATCACGTCTATCCAAACAACCTCCCTGAACATCTGTGGGACCCTTCCCTAAATGTTCATCCAGACAGACCGTCCCTTCTATTTATAGTTTCCTCTGTGATGTCATTCAGTGGGGCGTCGAAATCCTTTGCTCCCTCGGCGAGGCTCAAAATTGTGTCATTTTTCATCTTCTGCAGTCCCTGTGTCCTTCTTTTATTGAATAAAGCCAGCCTTTAGGGAAATGCAGGCCTGTCTTTCTCACTCTGACACTCTTTTGTCTATGCCTATGTCTCTCTTGTCCCTTTGTACATCTTTTTTTTAAAGCAGTGTGCCAGTTTACGCTCACACTGACTTACCCTCATTCTCCTTCAATTACATCTCCCTTATCGCTTCTCTTTGGACATGCTGTCGGATGTGCAGTTTCTTTTTTGTCAGATGTGTACCTGGGGCTGGCTTTGTATGAAGAAGTTAATGGTCTTATCAGACTTGTGTTGGTTCAGTACATTTAATTTCTGATGCTTTTACCCCAAGCAACTTACAAAAAGTGAATTAACCATAAACATAGAAACTCAGAACCAACACCAAACCATTGTAATTGCTGGTGCATTAGTTTCAATAGTTTTTTTTCTGAGTTGTGTTTATTTGCCAAGACACAAGGTCTATATGTAGACTTTTTGCTGTCCTAATGTCAATGGGAAGCATGTTTCACTATTCTGGAAAAAGGATAGCAACAAGTTATGATCTTGTTGACGTTCACTTTGGTCCAACACGAAAGGAGTAGCGAGCTTATTGGCCGATTCAGAGCAAAGTGCCCGCATGGTTTAACCATGTCCTTGATGAAGGGAGGACTAGATTACTTCACAGCACGGTAGGCCAATGCCAGTGTCTTGTAGCAATTCCATCCCAACCCCTGCAGTCAACATGTCAAAGTTTCTGTGGGCAAGATAAGTAACCCGAAGTTTCTCCTGATGGCATGGCAAGCAGTGTGTGAGTCATGCCATCAGGATGAATGGTTGTGAACGGATAAATGCTGACTTGTATATGTTAATCACTTTGAGGGTCGCAAAGACGGGACAAAGCGCTGTATACATGCAGTTTACCTGTTTACTTTGGCTGTGGATGAGACGAGGGTTTGGATGCAGGTGTAGAAGCTGCATTGTCTTTAAATCCACTGGCTAGCACCACTGGCACATCTTCTCTGCCGCTGACTTATTCCAGAGAAAGCGGGGCTGGACCCCTCTGGGCTCCGGCCGTCCACACCGGCGAGCTACGTGCCTGGCGCCCGATATGGATAGTCATGTCTGAGTGTGAAAACCATATCCTGCATCACCAATGGGATTACGCTGGATTATAACTCAGCACATTCACCTCTGGGGCCGTAGCCAACAGCAGGCCCCGGAGGACTCGACGAACCTGTCCATACAATCCCTCTTGAGAGGACAGGAGGACATTGTTCTTGCAGCTCGCAGCAAAGCCTTTTATATTCAGATGTCTCACCTATTGATTTCCCTTGCACACATGACAGATGTTACCGGCGGCCCGTAACAACGATCCCATTAAACCCCCAAAAGCAACAAAAGAGCTTCTTAAATGAACAATGCGAACCCACCACTATCTATTTCTCCCTCTCACGGCTTTACTCTCACTTCATTTATGCACATGGACGGACAAAAGACAGCTGCTCCCCTCGGAGGAGCATGCCTCACTAAACCCGCCTACCCGCTCAGCTCTTCTGCTACTTTATTACGTGGCAGTGGTGACAGTGCAGGACAGCTCGGGAACAAAATCTACCTGCAGAATTTAATTAGGCGGTTTTCAAGGAGCCTGCTGCTGGGGAAGATGTGGGCCAGGGGAGTAGGGACGGAGGACGGCAGACAGGAAGAGACACAGCTATCGATTCGCAGCAGTCGGAGAGGGACACTTTGAAGAGAGCGCGACTCAAATCGATGCTGAATTTTGCGTCTAATGAGACACCTGCGTGCTTTCTGGCCAGCAAAAGAGCATCATAGTTCCAAATAACAGTTTCACCATCTGATTTTTTTTGCTCATAAATTCATTCTGTGTAGTTCAACAAATAATGAATATCGATCCATCTGCACATCTTTTATTAGTGTCACTGGAGTCTCTGTAAAAGCAACTTTTTCTTTCTGCACTCCCACCAGTTCTCAGAAACTGTCATTTAACCTTGGACGTATTGTACAGTGTATCACATGCCAACATCACAACAGTTGCTACAATACCATGTACTGTATGTTTATGGTATATAATGGTGATCTTTTAAATGATTAGCCAAACATTTAATTAAATTAATTTGGTTTATTTAACAGGGATAATGGAAAGTCATTGACTATCTCATAGTCATTGTTTAACTATAAAATACCATAAATCAATGTATAGCTCCAACACAGTAAACTAGAAAGCTACATGTAATCATCATTCCAGTAAGTTTGTTTATTACTGTGTATTAGTTATTCATTTTAAATCATCAATTTGAAGACATCACCCCATTTCATTAAATAGTTTATTTAACAGAAACATTAATAAACATTGCACTAAAACTTGCCAGACTTAGCCAAAAGGTAATTTCTCATCTGGCGCACATGAACAGATTTTCAAGGTAACCCTAAAAAAACCATTATATTAAATAAAATACAAGAATGTTTATAAAAATAATTGAAATGCAACATGCACAGAGGCAGAGCCTTTGCTGTCACGGCTACACTTTTATTCACCTTTAGAAACGTACCTTTTTAGAAATTCCTTTATGTGATTTTATTTAAGCTTCATTATTTTTTATTTGGTTTACTCTGTGCTTTTTTTCTTTAAATGAAGTTGTTTAATTAGTTGTCTTTGTGTAATTTGAACGGTGTTCTGTTTTATATGAACATCTCTCTTTAGAAAGGTGCTATATAAATAATGTTTATTATTATTATCATTATCACTATTAATACAGGACATGCAAAATAAATTAAACATTTATATAACAGAGCAACACCACTGGTGTCCTTGAGCTCTATGACATTTTTGTGGTATTTTTTATTATATTTTGACACTGTGTACTTTTTATTTTGCATTTTAATATTCAGTATGTTGGATTAAACTCTAAGGTTTTGTGCGTTGCCCTCTTCTTAGGTAAAGCAATCCTTGGCCCTCCGCGGCTCTACCAGGAGCTGCAGGAGCTGCAGCATGACCTCTCTGTGGTGGAGGAGGTCACCCTGCTGGTGGGCACGCTGCAGGGGACGTACCAGGTACGTGTTGCTTCACGTTAATCTGAAATCTTACCCAAAGGTAAGATGATAGGCACAGGTTCCCTCAGTCCAACTGACTCTATAGGAAAAAATGCTAAATTCATGGTTTGTTCCAATTTGATGACACCATTACACAACCTAGCTCTCAGTGTTTTCTTTCTTTCATTAAAATTGAACACTTAAAACAAAGATCGCTATCGTTTCATCCAACAACTGCCTTTAGTATCACAAATGATTTAAAAACCAGTTTCATGTTTATTATACATACATGAATATATACTGTATGTATGTATAATAAATGAAATATGGAATGTATTAGGTAAACTGTGGCTTACTTTATAAAAGTGAATCTGCCCTAAGAGCACAGAGGCCTCAAATACAACACTAAATAAGAAACAGCTCATTTAAAATGCTGGATCCAGTGCAAAATAATTGCAAAAGGAGTCTAGATGTTTAAAGATTGAACCAAATATTCATTTTGTATCTTCAATCTCCCAAAGCATGAAGTCTCCCATCTATCTCCTCCTCAACAGGGCAACAATGGACGGTATGAGATGTTCCCTCTGATATACAAAGTCAGATTTGCTTTGTTGAGAGAAAAAGCAGCAGCGCCCCTCCTGTGGAGTTACAATCAGGACACTTCCCAGTAGTCTGCCACTAACACATTAACCGTACAACACACTACACAACAGCCAGGGAGGAATACTCCAGCAATCACCAAAGAGCCTCTCAGGCTAATGGTGGCACCTTTGCCTCCCCGCGTTTAACGAGCACAACGTCCTCAGGAGGAGTGATATTAGCCTGGCAATGAATGTCTGATTTTCACTCTCCACCAGTAATAATATTGTCCAGGGGAAGAAAAATACTGACAGAAAACTTCTGCACAGCTCATTGACTTTAGGAAATGGATTTGATTCTGTTTTGACTTGAGGGACAATATTTGACTGTAGAATGGATGCTCGTGTTAAATGTAGCATTACATTTGAGGGGGATAACAATGCCACAACTGTGTGGCGTCACATAATGTAATGCAGTTTGATGTGAGTGGACTGGTGGTTGTTAAAGATATGTGCGTTTTGACCTACTCCAGCTGAGAAACGAGTTTGAACTGTGTGTGCTTCTCCTTTCAAAGAACCTGAACACCACCGTGGCACAGGACTGGTGTCTGGCTCTACAGAGGCTTATTCGCATCAAAGAGGAACAGATCCAGAGCGCTAACAAATGTCGCTTACGCCTGCAGGTACCCGGCAGGCCAGACAAGTGAGTGAAATCTCAAATATATATGCACTGTAAAAATGAAAAAGTTAGGGCAACTCTCTGCACTAGATTTTTGGGTTTTAAGGCCGACTAAAACTCTTCAAAGGGGCCCTATTATGCTCCTCCTAAGTAAAGAAAACATGCTGACTAAGAATGTGGTGATTGTTATATCATGACATATTATGCTCATTTTCAGGTTCATTTCAGAGTTTGAAGGCTCACAGTGTGTGCACTGAGGGAAACGTATTGTTTGGCTATAAGCGTTTTTCAATTGCCCAACTAAGAGCCATATTATTATCATGTTTACAGTCAGATATTCAGCACTTGTTGGCAAAGTAATACATGCTCCTACACTTAAAAGCTCTCTTGTTCCCCGCATATACTTTTTTTCCCTTTTATATTAGAATTTGAGAGTTTATCCACAGGAGTAAACTATGAGTACATACATACTGAAGGTTAGTACCCTAAACAGTTGACTTTTTATGTACATATTTATGGCTTTTAAGTGGCTTTCCCACAATGCAAAAGCTTCTTCTTCCTGAGTCTTTGTTCAGCCGAGCATTTATGTAAGCCATAGCAAGTTACCTTGTCGTACTGAGGATCTCTAAAGTGGTTGTCTAAACACGCCAAAGTGGATCCTGTTGAGAGGAGTGAATAATGAACGACTGAACGCCTACTTAGAGAAGAACAAAGATGGCAAGGAGAGAGCATATGAGTAGCTGAGTACTGCACAGGAACTGGGAATAGCAAATAATGTCCGATTATAATGAATCCCATCTCCTGGCTTCTGTTGGGGACTGGATAAAAAAAGAGGCAGGGGAAGACAAAAAGATAACGATTGCGATAGACAAGCCAGAGCCCTGCTGAGAGAGACTGAGCAGTAGAAGGAGAGAGAGAAAGAAAGAAAAGAGGGAGAGTGATGATGGACTCCTGAAAGACTTGGCTGGGTGCCAGCAGGGCAGCGGCAGTCAGAGGAGTGGGCCTAATGCTTCAGAGCCAGGGAGAATGTGACTGTGCCAAGCCAAGCTAAAGTGAAGGCCGGCGAGCAGCAGAGCTGTGCAGACACTTCTCCCCACATCTCCCAGTCCTCGTCGCTGTCACACCAGCCTGCAGCCAATCTGGCTTACTCAGATGTTTGTGGAGCCAGGAGTCACGCTCACAGGAGACCCAAATTCCTCAAGGGGGTCCCTATTGCTGATTCTTGTGATATGTCATTAGGCAACTCACTGACAGAAGAACCCACCCCTACAACACCAAACTGTACATTTTATTTCAAACTGAATAATGTGAGTGCTGAAATCCTGCCTGCAGATGAGTTTTGTAAAAAGAGGTCACATTAACTCTCTCTCTTTCCTCC